TAGATATCAAATAAAAAAAACAATAATACTCGTACACAATACAAAAAATAATTCTCCTTACATAAAATTTTCGTATTGTACGTAAATAAATTCAATCATTTAAAATCTCATTATATATAAAGACTAGCTGACTCGGTAAACATTGTTTTACCATAAACATTATTTCTAGAACTATACATGAAATATCTCGTACCACAAGTATTATATTCGATTGCCATCTTGCAACCCTATTGCGAAATATATAAATCGCGATTAACAAACAGGCGTTGATCGTAAATGGGTGAAAATTTAAAGTTGTATGTATTTTTCAATGCTAAATCATATTTAAGTAAAAATAAAAAAAATTGTCAAAAAATAAAAGAATTTTTTTTAGTGGTGGGTCACCCTTATCATTGAGGGGTATAAAAAATAGATGTTGGCCGATTATCAGACCTACCGAATATGCACACAAAATTTCATGAAAATCGGTAAAGCCGTTTCGGAGGAATTTGGTAACAAACACCGTGACACGAGAATTTTATATATTAGATATCTCATAAAAAAGCTGGGATTGTGCAAATTATGAAAGAAAAATACCTTATTTAAATGTAGTAAATAAATAAACAATCGATACGTATATTCCTAAAGCTTACCAAATTAACAACTTCGTAGCATGGTGGTAAATACGTTACTTTGAATAAATCAAGTATCTGCTTTAACTTCCGATTATGGTTAATTTTGGAAACAATTCACATTGCAAAGTTACATTTATATGCATTTACCAGAGGAAAACTTTGTACAAAAGTCATTTGCTTGGGTACCTCTGTCCCATTCGTGTTTCAACCGTGAAGTAATTGTGTTGGCATGGCTGTGTTTCGGTTTAAAGGGTGGGATATGGGAGTGAATTTACAGGGTACAGAGGAATAACACCTGAGTCCTCAGGAATGGCAACGCATGGGGGGTATCATGGGCGAAACAATATACTCTGTTATGTCCATGGTACTGGTCATGTCTATAGGCGACAGTTACCACTTTACATCAGGTGAGCCGTCAGTTCGTTTACCATTCTAAGTTGTATGAAATAAAATAGCTTCAAAACCGATGATGAAAACTAAGTTGTCAATTAAATCGATTAAAATATTAATCAACATCGTTTTAATTTCTTTAATGTTAATGCAATATAGAACCAATATCTTGCTAACGATTATATACGATTTCTTATTTGCTATACGATTCGAGTGACGATATCTTATGATAAGATAAATATCTATAATAATAAAAAATATTTAATAACTTAAAATGCAGTAGATTTTTTTTTATCTACAATCTATATTCTTATTTTCCAATCTATATTACGATTTAAAGGTGCATGTAAACAAGTCTATTTGTTGATGATTTGAATCTGAAAACAAAATATTTTCTTTGTTTTTTTTTTTATATTACTCCCTGTGTTAAGTGCAAAACCTCACTATTCCAAATATTAATCGATCGGAATTGGTAGTTTGTAGACTGTAAGCTACCTATTACTATTATTTTATTTACTCACTAATTATTTATTGCTGTGTTTGTTAAATCATTTTATGTATGCATTTCATTAGAAATCATTTTTATAATGCGTTTCATAAACATTCTATTATTTCAGAGAATACGAAAATTAGATTCGGCCAAATGGCGTGGAACAGAATTGGTAAAAAACAGTGCGATCTCGTGCCAGATAATTAAGGTCTTTGAATCGTTTTATATTAAAAAAAAAAGTTTCGCCTTACCTGAGCTATCAAAATTCTTGATACGTACAGGCTGATCCAAATAAAATACATTGCTTATCTAGTGCATTGTTACCTAATATCTAAGTAGGTATTTGAATAAGACAACGGTAGCAAACAAAATATTAAACACTGATGTGAATTTTTTGAAGAAAACAAAAAATCTTTCTGATTTTCCAGCAGATCAACTTACATTTATATGAATAAATGAAAACTCTTTATTATTCCCTTCAAAGAATGTTACAAATTATAACAATTAATAGCTTACTTGTGAGAAAAGCTTATGTTCAGCAGTGGACAGTTAATGGCTGTATGATGATGATGATAATAAAGACTAAATATATATATACAAAAAAAAATTACATAAACATAATTAAATAAAAGCAAGACAACGAGGCAACAATGGGCAGCCTTATCGCTAAATAACTATCTCTTCCAAGGAACCTTAGGATGGAGAGAAATAATTAAAATTGTGTCTATTTATTATGTGCTATTTATTTCATAACAAAAAAAAAATTGCTTAACTATATGGAGATACTTCACTATACAAGCGACTTTGAAGCCAAATACATAACGATATGTTTAAAGCATTGACAATATTGTAGGGAGACTTTGTACAAAAGTCGATTGCTTGGGTATCTCTGTCCCATTCGTGTTTCAACCGTGAAGCAGTTGTGTTTGCATGGCTGTGTTTCGGTTTGAAGGTTGGGATATGGCGTGAATTTACTGGGTACAGAGGAATAACACCTGAGTTCTCAGGAATGGCAACGCGTGGGGGGGTATCATGGGCGAAACAGTATACTCTGTTATGTCCATGGTACTACTCATGTCTATAGGCGACGGTTACCACTTCCCATCAGGTGGGCCGTTAGCTTGTTTGCCATTCTAAGTTGTATAAAAAAGGACTTTGAAGCCAAATACATAATGATACGTTTAAAGCATTAACAATAATGAAGGTATGGCAAAATTATTTGGAGGTAAATGGATAAATTTATCTGTACTAAGTAAGTATATAGTAACTAATCTTCATTATCAAGAGAATCGATGCATTATTACCATTTTAATAGTATAGAAAACTATTACTATTCAACAAGAAAACAGGATTGTATAAATTTAAAAACTGTGAAAACTGCAATTTTAGAAAATTGTAAAATAATTTTTGCTACAAACATATTAAAATAGTCTTCAGTTGAACCAAGAAGCTAACAGATAGATTACAAATCCTATGGCTTTTATTCGTATAGATTCCGTTATAAAATAGTGTGAAAAATAGACAGACAAGGCATCGAGATCGTTACATATACATAAATATTTCATATTTACTAACAAAATTTTAGTACGGATCTTGGAAAAAATAAACTGGTTGAAATTGTCACTGTCTATTTAGAAGTCTATCACAAATTGACCCCGCTGTATAGCCACATGCGTTTCGTACCTACCTACGTCACATACGTGAGCCGAATCTATCGGATATGTGATAGGTACCTACATAAAAAAACACCAACCCGAGCTTTTTTATCGTGGCCGCGGATCGAAGTTCTAGTCAGAAAAAAATGTTTCGCAGATGTTGATTTTATAAATTTCTTGCACGTGTTTTTTTTTTTTTGACCCCGCGCGTTGCCAGCCCTATATTGGTTACCAAATTATCCAAAAAACTGTTCAATTAGAAATAAATTTTGGTTTTAAAATTGGCCATATAGCCATAATGATGTAGGCCTGGCTTTTAATCTCATAAACAATTTTTAATGTTGCTCATAAACAATATATCTAAAGTTCAATTTAATTTCGGAAATAATATTGACAAAAAATGTGTAATATATACAAACAGTACTTTTCACTTGCCAACCGAACTATTTTCAATTCCTTGGTAAAAATTATAATTCAATATTTTACTACAGACGCAACAATTTGATGGCGCCCCATTTTCTCTGATATTGCAGGTGTTTATAGGCTACGGTAACCACTTACCATCAGGTGAGCCGTATGCTTTTGCCTTCTCAGTTATAAAAAAAGTGTTAAAATTGATAAAATTTAGGTAAAATAAAATTTTCTTACACCTCAGTGGTTTCGATAACACTCATTTAGAAGTAATATAAAAATAATAACTGCAATATAAATTAGTTACAACAACCATTTGTATAAAATCATTCTTTGCCAGGAGAATAATAAATGGTCATCATTAAATGATAAGAAGGTTGGATTAAATAAAAAAAGTCTTAAATTATTTTGGAATTACTTTATTAGAAAAAGAAACATTTAAGCCCACGCAAAAAAAAAACACAAAAATTTTCAGTATGGCAAAACCAGTTATTTTTATTTAAAAACTAAATATTTCAGCAGATTTTGCTAAAATTTCTATGTGATTAATCTTTAATTATATCCATTAAGTTAAAAAGAGAATTTTCCAAATCAGTTTAAAACGGACGGAGTTAAGAGGTAACAAACATAAACTAAAATATAACCAAATTAAAAACCTCTTTCTTTTTGAAGTCGGTTGATAAAGCATATTCTTCTTAATGATGCAACATCCGTCCATTCGTTAGTTTGTTACTTTTTGACGCTTTAACGTCTTAACCATTCGTTATAAGATTTTGAAAACACGTAGTATTTGGAATGAATAAGGGCACCGATTATTTTTTTTTAATTAAGTTAATCAACATACCCTAGCCACGTAGACGAAGCCGCAGGTAAAAACTAATAACTCATAAATTATAATAGATAATATTATTACAATATTGCTAGCAATATACTATGTCAGGTGCTCAATTCCAAGTAAATTCACCACCATGGGCTAATTGACCTGCCTTTTTATTCTTATCTATCATCCCTCACTGGTGCTTGACTCTGCCAGCGCATACTGTTAGCGCAGACGGGGTTACCGGTTTTATTCTCAGGCTTCTTTCTTTATATTTTAGTATTAGATTACACTACTACCTACTATGTTTTTCCATTTTCATTTCTAAAGTCGATTATAAACCAAATTGATAATCTTAATACTCAATTCTATTATTTTGCAATGCTAAATAATTTGATAAAACATTAACTGAAGATCTGTGATGACATCGTTGTAATAAATTTGTAAATAACTTTAAACTTTTTATTAGATTAGTCGAGTAGATACTAGGGTACCTACTCGCCTGCGGGTGCATAATTTTTAAATAAAATTTATTTTAAATGATTTTATTATAAAGTGTTACATACATTTCATGAAATATATATATAGTAACGAAAATTACAACAATTACAGGATATTTTATAAAAAAAATATTGATTTCAAACAGTGACATCTACTAAAATATTACTGCACTTCCAGTAATATTTTATATTTCAGAATACATAATATAGATGGCGTTGATGTTCCATTGATAAGATTAATTTATTGTATATGCCACAGAGAGCGCTTTGTATCTTATTAATATTATTGATATTTACTAAATCTATTGGAATTTAGTAACAAATCGAAACATTTAGTCAACTTGTCTATTTTTTATTTGTCCCACAAAAAACCAACTTCAATTGTAACAAAACCAGTTATATTGATATAAAAACAGAACTATTGAGCCGATTTTAATAAAATTTCTATGGAACCAATCTGTAAATATAACCTGTCAGACAAAAAAAAACCATATCGATTTAGAATTGATAAGGTTATGAGGTACTAAATATAAAAAAACTGAATTGAAAACCTTCTTCTTTTGGAAGTTGGTTGATTATTAGACATCAGATGACTGTTTATGATCGGGTCTATTACTCATTTGTTTACATTTTCGTTGATATCTATTAAAACATACTACTTACAGCTCTAATTCTTAGATTATATAGATAAAGCATCGGGATTCTAAAACGGGCCAACCTTTTGTCAGTTAATTGTGAAATTAACTGACTCTTTTTTTTTCAGTGTTCTATATACTTACTCATAAAATGTATCCTAACGTATTATTTAATAAATAAAATGCATAAACACTCATTTTATTTAATAAATAAAATGAGTGTTTATGCATTAAAAAGATGCAGAAATCATAAGACATAATAAATATAGACGTTATAAAGGAACTACTCATAACTATTTATATCGCAAAATTGTATGAAAAAGTTGACGCGATTTTCTCGAAACATTTCTATGGAGAGACTCTATCCCTATAATCTAAGCTATAATTATTGTATACATTTATTGTTGCTTATGATTAATTAAATTATTATACAGTTTTACATACATGGCATTCACATTTTGTTGCCTTTGACAAGAAAATTGTTCCGTCACACACACTTGTGTTTTACCATTATATTTTACAGCATTATATGATATTCCCATTCTTTTCACTTCAGCCAAGAAGTCAAATAAACAAGCGCACTGCCACGGATTATCATTGAAAAATATCTTTTTTAATTTCCCTCCGGAATTTCTCAATTCTAAACAGAAATTGTCTGTCAAATAAGTAAATTTGTTGTCAGATAAATTCAAATTCTTCAACGGCGCTCCTCTAAAAGCATTAACTGGTATAAAATCTATTAGATTATGAGATAAGTCCAGATTAGCTAACTCTGGCAAATCTCTAAACAAATTATCGGGTATAGATTTCAACTTATTATTTCTTAATACAATAATTTTCACCTTTTTCAAAGGAACAAAAATATTTCCTACTATACTATCAATTTTATTATGTGCTAAATTCAATATTTCCAAATTGTCTAAATTCACAAATGCAGTTGAGTTGTCTAGATTATTTATTTGATTTGTAGACATAATCAATTGTTTCATCGTTCTCATGTTGTGTCTAAGAGCAAAATTCGGCAATCCGGTAAGAAAACATCTATCTAAGTTTAAAATATTCATTTCTTGAAAAGCATGCGTCAATAGTTCTGATGTGTCACTCATTTCATTTCTGGAAAAATCAATGAATTTAATATGTCTATTAATATTAAAAATGTAAGGACTCAGTTGTTTTCCTATTAACAAATTACTTGCAAGATCTAAATGTTTCAACTTCTTTAATGGATCGAGGAATCCTTCTTCTAAAATATTTATTTTATTTCCTCTCAAATCTAATAGTTCTATATTTGGCGTCTGGTTGAAAAATCCTAAAGGAATCGCTGTCAACAAATTATAGGATAGATTTAAGGACATCAGTTTGGGCGCTCCATCAAAAATCTCCAACCTGAGATTTGATATAGAATTTAATGATAAATCCAAATCTTCCAACGAGGATAATGAATGAAATGATTCCTTGTTAATGTCAATAATGCGACAAGCTTTTAAGCTGATTCCTATGGTTCTGTTATTGTCTGATACTAAACCTCTTTCTAAAATATAGTCTGATGAGCCAGGAGAACAAATCATATTATTTTGTAAATCATTATGTGTCATACAATTTGGTTCCGCACAAACAATGACCAATATAATGGGCATTGAGAATAATCCCCACAGCAATGACGTCATAATGTACTCTGAAAAGTAAATTGTTTCAAAATTGATCTTAATTATTCAATCGAATACCGATCGAAATAATCGAGTTTCCCATTAGGGTAGGCAAAAACAATGGAACGCCAAATACTTTGATTTAAACGAGCCCCTTTCGCTTCCTCCACATTCATCAATCTTTTCATACACGCTCGCCGTTTATGGGTGCTTTTAGTTAATTTACGTCCGTACCGACATCTCCATTCATTCTAACATAAAATTCTAACACAAAAAATTACTCTAACATTTTAAAATAGATATATTTAACTAATTATGCATATAGATAAGATTAAGCTTTTAATAGTAGTAGTACCAATTAATAATTTTCAACAGCCAAGTATATCATACAATTCTTTTATTCATGTATTAGTGCATTCTCATATAACTTATAAACTCTCTATATTGATGCGGTATAAAGAATTTACATACGAATATTTCAATGATTGCCTGCCACATTGTCGAGGACTCATGCAGACAGAAACATACACATACTGCCTATGCGTTCTTCTTATCATACGAATGTTTTGTTATATGCATAATTATAAGGAAAATGTACGTCGATGGAATTCCCTGACAATAAAACAAAACAACATAATATCAGCATACATTTATCTGGATGAAACAAAATAATATTCGTTTACATTTATTTGCATTTCTTACTACTACCATTTTAAGTAATATTTATAATGTCATTCTAATTATTCCAAATATAGAGCTTAGTTTTAACAATGATATCGTGCTTCCCATGACAGAGGCTTTCATGGGAAAACACGGCGGCCTAAAAACTCTCGATACTAGAAGCCGCCACCCACATAAGCGTAAGTAAATAGTAGTAAGAGTATTCTTTCATAATATTACTTATTGCAACAGTAACGATCTAATAGCCCCATTACTAATCCCTTTCTTCTCTACTAATAGGTTTTAGAATAGATCTGAGATAAAGCATTACTAAAATTCATTATAAAAATATCAATACCTATGTTGAATAAATTACGGATAAGGGGTTCTAAAACACGCAATATACAGTAAAATATTCAAACAAATAAAGCAAATATTACGAAAATCATTATCATTACAATAAGAAATTATGAAAATTAAGCGTCAAATAAAACTCATGATTTTTTAATTACCTTTTGATTATGACGTTGATCAGTCGCAAATTTTGACGATCGTTAACCTTTACAAATCACACTTTACACCAACAAATACTTCTGTAGACATAAAAATACCTAACTAGGGAATGAAGGAAACAAGACGTGCACAGGAATCGGGTTTTGCTACTTTAGTGCATTAAATTTCTTGCATCGTGTATGTTATTACAACCGGTGCACGAGTTGACAGCGACAATGTGATCCTGTGGTAATTTAAATAGCAATGATTATGTTTTACATATAATTGTCTGTTTATAAAACTGCTATAGTTTATCAATTTGGTAAATCAAATACGTCATCCCTGTATTTCTTTTTTGATATTACCTCCTTACGATGATGATTCAATCAGAATTTTACTACTACTTATATTGTAAATGTAAAAATTCTGTAAAAAAAGAAATATTTGGATTTCTGACAATTACAGACTGTAACTTTTTTTTTATGGATGATAATGGAATGGTAACCCCACCCGCGCTATCGGTGTATATTTGATGAAGTATTTCAATCGTGACGAATTTAAGAATTGTTCATGATGGTTTCCAAATAGGTACATATATTTGCTAGCAATGGGGCTGTCAAACTTTGCTAACAATCCCTCCCCCGACTGTAACTGTTGTACCTACATTAATTTGAACGTATTTCAATTAAATTTAATACATTAAATATACATCTAATTCACTTAGGCAAAGCTACGGAACACTAATAGTTTTTAAATATAAAAATATTCCCTAACCGCCATCTAGCATTACCAGGTAAAAATATATAATAATTTTGATAAATTTGTTTAACTCATCATTCTTCTTGATAAGATTTACACAAACCACAGATTAATTCTTTTACATATGGATGCCTATAAAAATAGCCGCAAGTAATGGTTGCTACTGGCAAACTTGAATTGCGTAGCTGATAGCATGCAATCTGAGTTTCAACTTTTATTTAAACCAAATTTCATTGAAAAGACTTATATCTGCAAAAATCAGCGACTGGATCTTAGATTATTAAAATTAAATCTTCCTCCTTTTTAATGGATAAAAATGGAATGGAAACTGCGCCTCCGCTGTCGGTGTCTGGTAGGGCACTAGTGAGGAGTGGTAATTGAGAATAAAAAGTTAAATTATCGTAATGTATATAATGGATTCCCGGGAGAACCACGTAAATATCGATCTGAGAGGGTATATTGCTAGCAATGAGACTTTACCAAGTAATATACTAGATTTAGCATACTTATATCTTTACGTACCTAACAATTCTATAACTTTGTATTCTAAGTGTATTTTTTTATTTTATGCAACTTAGAATAGCAAACAAACTAACGGCCCACCTAATGGAAAGTGGTAACCGTCGCCCATAGACACGAGCAGTACCATGGACATAACAGAGTATACTGTTTCGCCCATATCCTACCCTTCAAACCAAAACATTGCTATGCAAATAATTGCTTTACGGTTGAAACACAATTGCGACAGAGGTACCCAAACAAACGACTTTTGTAAGACTACCTCTTACAGGTGCATGAAGGTGGGTATATACTCGTATATATTTTATCTCTTATTTAAAAATAACAGAATTTTCATCATGCCTCCGATCAAACTGTTTATAACTACTCCTCCAAATGTTGCCTGGAAAAGATCGCTTTTAGCGATAAAGCCGCTTCTTGTTTCCTCAGTGTGAACATTTCTTAAAATTGTTTATATCTATTTATAATAAATTTATAACTGTAATCTCTTGAAGGAAACAGTAAATGATTGAGAATGATAAGTATGAATTCTATATTGATTAATCAAGTAAGTTACTATGTGACGAAATAAAAGTACAGCAAATAATTTACTAAATAAACTAAGATTCATATTTCAACATACTGACATCCTAAAATAAAAATTATATCAGCATGCAATACTTGACAAAATACCTTCTAAGCTCCTCCTACATACACCCACATCATTGTTAACATTTTATGACGCGTTTAACCTTGACCAATAAATTACGTCTAATCTAAATATTGACACTTAACAAGGCGAGATCGTCATTATAGTAAATGAATTATAAAAAAAATCTGTTAAAAGTAATTTTAATATAATATTATTATTTTATCTCTTGTTAGGTTTCCCATCTCGACATGAATTACACAGTAAATAATAATAATTAACAGTCCTATAACAGAACAAATTATTGTACAGAAAATAGTTTTACCTATATATAAAATATTTGTACAGAATGTGCAATTGAAAGAGGCAGCATTATTGTTGTAAGTTACATATCTAAATTATATAACGTTTAATTATTATTATTTTTTATTTCGTGAAACAAATTATTAATAATCATAATAAGCAATTAAATATTATGTCGTTGTCAGGTACATCAATATATGTAATGTTTTTAAAACTCTCTATCATACGTACCTACATAGGTTCACAGATTTTTTTAATATAATAAAATTATAATTAAACAATATCTGTATATAGAAGATATTCAAGAAGGGTTTTAATAAAAGCAATAGAAACCAAAATATTTTTTTTTATTTTATCTGTCTGCCTGTTCCGACATCAAGTAATAATTACTGCACCAAATTGGATGAGATTTTCACATTGTGTTCCTGAAAGACTAACTTAAATACTGCTATATGTTTTATCTTAATACGCTATTTAGAAGTGATCTATTTCATTAATTTTCCTAATTCTGAAGTCCAGATTTACGAAGTAATGGATAGAAAGCTAGCACGAAATAAATATAAACGCAAATATAATAAAGCTATATATTATAATTAAATACCAAAAATGAAACCACCTACAAGAATAATTATAGTATATTGCTGATACAAATTATATATCAAAAATAATCTATACATAAATATAAAATTAAATTAAATATAACAACACACTATAACAATCTATACATACATAATATATGCATATACGTCACGTCTATTCCTCAATGTTCCTTCAAATTAGGGTGATCTGTACTCTAAAAAAACAAATATCGTGATTATAAAATTACAATTTGAGGTATATCAATCAGTCTGACACAAACCTAGAGTTCCACTGGTCGTTAATTCAAAATAAACTAGCAAACTTACATTATTTTGGCACTTATTTATAAGACCTCATCGGTTTTAGTATCATTAATATTATTGTTAGGTTCAGATTTGTTTTCTATTAAAATATCAGTATCATTTGTCAAACGAGAATCTGAAACGTCTTCTGATGTATTAAAATCAACTGAACTATTGTTGAGATCTATTATATTTGTATTACTTTCTTCTAAATTCTTTGTAATATTCCTAGCGATGTCAAGTTCACTTTTTAACTGTTGTATTGATTGAATAACTTCATTTTGAAAATTCATGTTAATTTTGTACAGTTGCTCAGAATGTTCTTTTTCTCTTCGTAGTTCATTTTTCAAATGTGTATCTTTAAATTTTTCATATTCAGTCATTATTCTCACTTTAGACTCGTACGTATGTTGTACCATAGACACCAAAGTGAACAATTTTTCAATCACCTTTTCTTTAACTTCTTTTGAAATGTTAGGATCCGATTCTAAATCAGATTTCGCGTCTAACGCTAAATCATTAGCTGACGATGGGAAACCAAGCAATTTAGAGCCATTCGACCCATTAGTAGATTTGGATTGTGACGCAACATTTTCTACTTTTGATATGTTTTTATAAGCTGTCTTACTTGTAAAAGCACCATGTGTTACCACTTCCGTGAAAACACCTGAACTAGGTTTATTTGCTTGATATTCAGCTGTTTTTTTATTTACTTTATGTAATAATTCACTTTGTTTCTCCTTTTGCTTTTCCATGTTTGTTTTCTGTAGTACCTCATCATGGGTGACGCCCTGTTGTTCCTCTTGTGTTTCTTTCGATTTATTCTGGAAAGGACTCCCCGTTCTTTTACTGAAGTTAGTTACTGATAATTTAGACATGTCGTGCCCTTTTACGTCACTTACATATAAGGTTGTGAAAATGAAAATAGGTTACAAAATTTCTGTAGTCACTGACAAACGCAACTGTCCACTCACATCGGTGATGGTGGCTGAACTAAAACCGCGGCCAATATCAAAATATTGAATGGTCGTCCTCCGAATGCCAAGTGTAGGTTTCGCTCCTTAGTTTTGGTTCGTCAAAGCTTCCTAGGCGTGCCAATGAATTAATTATGAGTGAGTAGCAATGGTCGGCGTGGGCACGAATGCAGTTTGCATTGAGTTATGACGATTGACAGGTGTAGAATACATAACAATGATGAAACTCTAATACTTGCTACTTGAACGTTATATTCATCTCACAAAACGTACTAAACATCTTACATTTATAACTGGTTTTATCGACAGCTTGACCTACCGTAACATATCGCATTTTTGGAAATTTATTACTTTACCGTTTTCTATAATTTTACAAAGTACTTAATTGCCTATATAATGTTTGTAAAAATTATCGTATTTATTATAATAATAATTTAATAATATTTATTTAATAATAATATATACGATAATTTGTTTGTGTACGTCAACATAATTATAGAATAACTCTTATCCTAATCCATGGAATTTTGCTTTTTTGTTGAGCCATGATAACATCAGCGTTATTACATAACACATAAACACGTTAATCAATGGATTACATGTAAATCACTGTAAACTGAGCTAAGATGAAAGTAATGAACCTATCTAAAGTTATTATATAAAACGTACGAGTATTATATTTTTATTATTATTACTATAGCATTACTAACTATGGTTTTGTTCACTCCACGGGTGTCTCTGTCTTACGCTTTGGAGCGTAAGACTAGCTAGTAGTAGCTAGTAAGTAGAGCTTTAGCTAGCACTTCATCATCATTGTCATATCAGCCATTAATGGTGCACTGCTGAACATAGGCCGCGCCCATAGGTTTGCCAGTAGTTGTGTGTAAAAAAATTTTCAACCGGCTTCATAAAAGAAGTTTCTTAGAAAGTTCATCAAAATCGGTTCAATAGTTTAGTTTCTAAAACAAAACAACTGTTTTTGCCACAATTGAAGTTGTTTTTTTTTTTTTGTGGAATGCAATCTTAATTATATAATAAATCAAGTGTAAATAAATAATGAGAGTAAAACTTTAACGTTCAAAATTACTTAAGATGTACATATAGATTTTTTTGTATTGGTTATAAATATTTAAAGAAATATTGAATAAACATACTTTTAAGAAGGTAAACTAATAAGTTATTAAAAGTCGACAAAACACAACTAGACAAAATGTAGTTGAAAATATTTTAGCCTCTCCAGTTTTATAAATAATTTTGAAGAAACAAATAAACACATAAATCTATATCTTCAAAATTCATAATCTTCACTCTTTGCCAAGAAAATAAAAAGACGACTAAATCCAGCTAGATTTTAATATTTCTTGCACATAATCAGTGGCAGAATATAAAATAATACTTACATATCTTTAACAACTAAAGTTATTGTTATTTCTTTTTGTGGAACAAAATCTTAATATTACAAACAGTTATTAGATATAACAATTATTCAATTGTGCAGTTATCCACAAATTGTGAGTAACTATGTCTATAAGTGTAACCTCGTAAATGTAACCTGTAATGTTGATCCTCATGTCCTACAGCCTCAATGGTCGCGTACTGCGCGGTTTCAGAGATGTTTCCTCCCACGAACACTCAGGTTGTGGAATGAGCTCCCTGCCGAGGTTTTCCCAAGAGACTACAGCATGGGGTTCTTCAAAAGGGGGTAAAGAAGTTTCTTCAGGGTCGGCAACGCACGCGTAATACCTCTGGTATTGCAGGTATCCATAGGCTACGGTAACCACTTACCATCAGGTGGGCCGTTTGCTTGTTTGCCACCTCAGTGGTATAAAAAAAACCTGTAATGTTTTTTCTCTAACCGACCTCAAAACAATAGTAACTTTGGTATATTTAGAACTATTTCCTGGGGAGAGTCTGGCCTCTAAAAAGGGCGTATATTATTATATACTTTTAGACACGTCTTTGTAAAACTTAGCTCGCATTCTGGGATGGGCACTAGCTAATTCTGGTATTGGGGGGGGGGAAGGGATTGTTAGTAATGGAGACTGAGAATCCCATTACTAGCAATATACCTAACCAGATCGACCTCCTCGGGGTTCTCCCTAGAAATTATCATGGTTAATTCCTGATGAATTCATCATGATGGGCTAACTGGCCTGTTTTCATTCTCATCTATCATCCTTCACTGGTACTCCGCCAGCGTATCCTGTTAGCGAGGCGAGGTTACTATATCATTTTCACCCATCAAAAAAAAAATCCAGTATGAGCACGGCCTAAACTTGACTACTAACATTCTACAAACCTATTTTAACTAATACACTGTTTTAATATTTTTTCAAATTGGGAATTTAACACGAAATAAAGAGATAAAACAATTCAATAGCTAACATAGATTTATGATAAATTTGACGTTTTTTTAAATAAGGGAGAGTAAGTATCAAAACATAACATTAAGATTGGGAGAGAATGGTATTAAGTTCTTGTACATGTTTCATGTAGTAAACTACTACTCCTGCTAGTCATCATCATCATATCAACCATCTTCTGTCCACTGCTAAACATAGGCCTCCCCCTAAGGTTTTCCAGTAGTTGCAACGCTTGGCAGGCGGATTGGCAACCGCAGTTAGGTTTGGTGATATTCTAAAAGGGACTCTGTTGCTCATTTCTTGACTATTAAGTTTCCTTTGTCATATATTGAGTACAACATCCACAGGAAAAGAAAGGGGTAGCATACTCTATGCCGGGAATACACAATAACTATTACTAGTACTAAAGAGTAAATGAAATAAATAAAGCATACCTCTAATCGGTTTGGAAATCTGATTTTTTATATCAATTAAAAAGATTATTGTAAACAAAACATCAATAAATCTCATCAATAAATTGTATTTACATACGAGTAAAAGGAAAGTTTTTACCGGGCGGTTAACCAACACTGGATGTTTAGTTATGCCCTACTGATTTATATACTACACAAGATGGGTCTATCTACGGACACACTGTGCAAACTGTGCGGGGAAAAATCCGAATCCACGGAACACTTGATATGCAACTGCGATTCGTTGGAAAGTATACGTATGAGTCTACTGGGAACGGCTTATCCAGAGCCAGAGGACTACAGATATCTTAAACCGCGGGATATCGTTAGGGTAACACATAGGATTTATGAAATGATGGTAATGGGCAGGGGGAAGCACAAAAGATCCGTATGGGTCGATGTACATCGGCTTAGCTGACCCCATATGCGAAAAATAAGATAAGATAAGAAAAGAGATGTTTTTCCCGGGCGGTTAACCAACACTGGATGTTTAGTTATGCCCTACTCCTCTTAATACGATAAATATTTGAAATTATTCACCCCATTGATCACTTTCACCTGTGGCGGAACTATACCGCCACAAATGGTCATCTCATTTGTATTCTGTGTGTATGCATTGCGCCCGCGCCGGTTCAATAATAATGGGATATCGCCCGTTATCTATCGAAAACTATTTGTGATACTTTAGATTAAGACGCTAATAAATTTTTGAATTATTATTATATATTTTTTTTATTTTCAGAGTATTTAAATTACATATGTAAGTTATGACGTCAGTGTGGTGACAAAGTGATAATATGATCATTTTCGTCATAAGATGTCATAAGAGAAAAGTCAGTATAAATCCTATATCATCCACTTAACTGGCGTGGTAATAGTAGAATAATATGCTCCTACGAATTAAAAAATACCAGCCAAGTGCGAGTCGAACTCGTGCTCCATTCAGTTCCGTATAAATGATAATTGAAAAAAGAAATCATTTTGCAAAACAAATATTTTTTTGTATTGTAACTGCAAGCTTACGGTTTTTAAATGTTTTCTCTTACTTGAGCTGTACAATACTGATTTTTGCCAAATTTCATGATTCTAGGTCAACGGAAAGTTCCCTATAGATTTTTATTCTCTTACAAATATCAAAATATATGCTATAAACGGCCATAGCTTTTGATTGCTTAGAAGTTTAATTTTTTAACAACTTCAATTAATAAACAAACTTGAGTATTCAATATTAATTTTAGCTTTATACCTTCACGCATTCCTGAAAGTAAAAAATCTTGATATACAAAGCGATCCTATAAGGGTTCGGTATTCCTTCTAGGATATGGAACCTTAAAAACTAGTCCTATTGTTATTATTTACTACTGCCACTACAACCACTTGATTGTACTACTATAGTCCTAATCACATATATCAGGAAAATACGAGTATATGTGATCATGATTGTAAAAACAGAAGAAAAAAAAATTAAATACATTCCGCGAGGCGCGAGGCCCCTCAGATTATAGGCAGTGGCCCACGTCGCCCACACCTTGGGACGCTTATGGGCACAATATCTAAATAAAATCTAAATCTATACAAATGTTATAAAGAGGATTGATTGTTTATTTGTAATGAATAAACTCAAAAACTAGTGAACCGATTTAAAAAAATTCACCTATTGAAAGCTACATTATCAGCGAATAACAAAAACTGTATTTTATTTTCAAAAAACCATGCAAAGCTGGGACATGCCGCTAGTATTATATAAATTAACTAGATGTTGCCTGCAACTTCGTCCGCGTCAATTTCTGTTATTATTATCGCGATTAAAAAGTTTTTAAAAGAATATATTTTAAAGTACCTCTGCGTAAATTATGTTGATAAAACTCTTTGGCAAATAATTGGCAATAATGCATTAATTTGGACCACATTTTATTACCATAAAAAAGGTTATAGTGAGCCGATTTTAAAAGATAGACATATACTGTCGTGGATTTTTTTTAATAATTCTTTCATACATATTTTTTGAGAACGCAGCGCACGTTACGGAAACCCTCAAATATTTAATTTTCTCCGTTTTACAACATTTTTCATTGATGCTTCGCTCCTATTGGTCGCAGCGTGATATTATATAGCCTAAAGCCTTCCTCGATAAATGAATTATCCAACACAAAAAGAATTTTAAGCGCATTCGCGTTTATATAAATATAATAATATGCAACATTCAATTATTTGAGAGTAAATATATTTAAAAGTTTATATCGAAATCTATTTCCAACTGAAGGACAATGCAGGAGATTATTAATGATTATTAGTCTTATTAACCGATAAAAAAAATAGAGGTTCTCAAGTCGACACGCATTGTTTTATGATATAGAGATAAGTTGTTATGATCACACATAACTTCTGACTATATAATCTTAAGGTAACTATTTGAGTATATACAAAGGAAGGTAATACAGAAGCATGATAGTTGCCTTAGCCATAGGGATAATGGGATTATGTGTACATTGCAAGAAAAAAAAGAGAGAATCAGTTCCTCAAAATCGAGCTTCTTTTAATTCGAAAAAAAACTACTAAAATCCCTTTACTTTCATTACAGTCAAATATTCTCTTTTTTCTACTGACGTCGGTTTTTTTTTTTATTTTTAATTTACAATTTAAAACAATAAATGCGAAAACACTTTTTCTAATAATTTTCAATAATATGTTCCACAAACAGATTGTGTTACGACAAAAAGTAACGAATATCAAAAGGTACATTCTAGAACATTTGGACCCAGGTCAATTAAAAAATGTTTTTTTCCTACATTGCCCAGACTCAGAATCATCCTAGACTTAAGACTATAGTTTACGCAAAGCAATGTTTTTAATGTTAAGCTTGGACGTACATACTCGTACTTATACAGCTTAGAAATAAACATTTGAAATATATAAAAATGAAAATAAAGTAGAATTAAGTCCATCTATATTTACTTTTTAAATCAATCTTTACCATGGGTGTCGTAAGAGACGACTAAGAGAACTTAATAGTCAAGATATGGGCAGCAGTGTCCCTTTTAAAATATCCCCAAAGGCCTGGCTGCGGTTGCCAACCCGCTTGCATCGCGAAGCAATTACTGGCAAAACCCTCCCAAAGGAGAGGTTTGTCTTTTCAGCAGAACAATTAATATTCATTGATCAATATTAAATAATAATATTATAATTATTAAATCAATATTATAATATCTACAAATACCGAAGTAACGCTTTTTTTTGTATTAAAGTAAAAAAATAAGTACCTACCTATGTATATATAACTTATTTTCGTTTCGTTTTTATATGTAAATTTTATACTTTTAATTAATAAATATTTATAAACAGATGAGTAGATTAAATAATAAGTCGATTTAATAATAAAAAGAATAAAAATAGCAAAAAAAATACATAAGACAAACACGAAAAAAAGTAAAAAAATATGCGGTTGTATTTGGAAGTTCACCATATTTGAAATCAGTTAAAAATCAATTATACTTTTAATCACATCACTTCAATATACATCGCAACTTCCATCTACTTGAATGACTAGAGTATTTTTATCAGTGATTATCTCCAGAGTGACAAGTTCAATGATAGTACCTTAGACAACATTATGTATGCAAGCAGCGAATACAATGAGTCTGCTCCTCCATATCAAACACCTTTAATACTCCACACACATACCATCCCTTTCACACTTTCCAAATGCATTATCCTCCAGAGAGGGATAGTTGAATCAAATCATGCTTCCCCGAATCAGGGTATGGTGTCACAAACAACAGAAAAGGCGCTCCGCACATACCACTCCAAAAGATACTGTAACTAAACCAATATCTTTGAACTTAAGACCTTCTTAGCACGTGCATACAAAGAGGATTCGTATCAAATAGCTTTCCCTTACACTTAGTTCCTATTGGAAACATAACGACTTAACTCCACCACTATTTCATACGACGAAAGACAATGCGTACCGGAACTGCGGAATACGTGCTGAATTTGAAATAGCTGTATAAAAACCGACGAGTCCTTCTCGAAACCATCACAAACTATCTAGCTTTCATACAGTGAACAAACAGGACCGTAACAATCAAAATGGTGACCAGTAAAGTGGTGTGCTTGGTAGCCCTCGCTTTATTCGGAAGTGCGGTGGCTCAGCCAGCGAAACAAGAATTCTGGAAAGGAACACCCATGGACGGCATGGTAGAGGAGATGAGGTCTGGCTGCGTAGAAGGATCTGACCCTGCCGCCTGCATTAAATACAAGGTCATGTCGTTACTGGACACCATTTTCAAGAAGGATACTTTCCAGGTATCCATTTTTTCCTTTTTATAAGACAAAATAATTGGAGTTTTACCGCAATTTGATAACTAACATTTTCCTTTTAGATCTCTGAAGCTGTAGAAGTGACTAAAAATGGAGCCGCCAACGAGGTTACTGGCCGTTCTACTGGCGATTTCTTCGACAGCATCGAGAATTTCATCCAGTCCCACGACGTCTCTTTCCAGCTTCCTCTAGCTGATACTAAAGTCACTGTGAGCCCCAGAAACCTCGACCAGGACGAGCTGAGCCTAAACATTAAATTCAACAAAGATGGTGCTCGTTCCGTCGGAGAGGCTCGTAAAGCTAAGCTCAAGAAGATCATTGTGCCTATTCTTGTATTCGTGCTCCTGAAGGCAATGACCCTCATCCCTCTGGCCATCGGTGTCCTTGGATTGAAGGCCTGGAACGCTCTGCAGCTGTCCTTCTTCTCCTTCGTGGTATCCGTCGCTCTGGCCATCTTCCAACTTTGCAAGAAGGTTAGTTAAATTTATTCATTTTATATCTGTGTTATAGTAATTAAAACTAAATTTACTACCGGATATAACAAAAATATCTTCAAAATCAGGCCTCACATCACTAAATTGCACCATTTTTTTATGTGTACGAAATAAAGAAACACACTTGCACTCTTTTTAGCACAAAATAATAATGCAGCACAAATAACTTTCAACATTGTTGTAAACTAACAAACTTCACGACCCTTCAACCCATATATCTAACATTTTAGTTTACCCAGATTGCGGCCGACAACTCCCACCCCCAGATCGCTGCTCATGGCCCATGGGACGCTGCCTTCGCCGCCACTCGTCGCAGGAGAGACGCCGAACCTCAGGAATTCGGTCAAGATCTTGCTCAAGAACTCGCTTACAACGCATACCAATAAAACCCAAGCACGCCCTCAACGACCTTGAACCCGAACCGATCAAAATGACTTAAATTCTAAATTCATATTCTGAATTTAGAATCGCAGTCAGATAATCGGAAACAGACCAAAAACTATTAGTTTCATATCGAAACTATTACCGTGTAAATACTATGTAGTTATGTACCTAATGCAACTTATTTATTAAAATAAACGAGCAAGTGAGACTGTGTGATTGTGACGTGTGAATGATGTTATTTATTTTATGTTATTAATAAATTCATTGATTGAATTATGATATTTTATTATACCTTATCCTCAAAAATATTAAATAATTGTTTTTGTGACGAAAATTAAATATAAATATTTCAATAATTAATAATGTTATAATTATACAGACTAATAATTGTATTGACTAATGACCTTGTTCCACAATTAAAACTTTATTTTCGATAAATTACTTATAGGCAATTACGAGGAATAAAAATATCTACACCTATGACTATATCGCTTACATTAAATTATTGGTCAAAAAATAAAAGCAAACATTTTTTCTAAAAAGTTTGTTAATATTTACAGAATAAACCATTACATTCTAAGTATCGTGTTTAAAGGTATATGCAGATATATTCAAAGGATAAAAATATAAAATTGTAGATAGAATCAAACTCATATTTATCAAAGTATTTAAAATTGTCTATAAACAAACATCATAATATAAAGAAAAATAGAAAATTTTAATAAATTATATTAAAGTACTTATAAGTTAAAAGTAAAAACGAACAAACAAAACGAGAAACTCAATAATATTTATATAGGTACCTACTTACTACAGAAAGAAAAAGTAGAGGTGTGATCGACATTTGAAGTCAGTTACAACGCCACCCGGCCAATTGGTTTTCCAGTCAAGTACTTAACTTTCTAACTGGCTCCAGTCGGTGACCAATTATCGGAAAATCGCAGCTTAACTACCTTCAAAGGATTACAATACAAACATTTATATTTTTTTTTATTGGATGAAAATGGTATGGTAACCCCGCCCACGCTAACGGGATACGCTAGCGGAGCACCAGTGAAGGGTGATAGATGAAAATGAAAACAGGCCAGTTAGCCCATCATGATGAATTCATCATGAAGAATTAATCATGATAGTTTCCAGGGGGAACCGCGTGGAGGTCGACCTGGTTAGGTATATTGCTAGCAATGGGATTTTTAGTCTCCATTAATAACAATCCCTTTCCCCCCCAAACATTTATATTAAAATTATAATTTATTATATCAGCCGTTAATTGTCCACTGCTGAACATATGCCTTCTTCATAAAGGAATTTTGCCAATAGTTATAACGCTTGGCAGGCGAATTAGCAACCGTAGTAAGGCTTTGGCGATGTTTTAAGAGGGACACGTCTTTCCATCCCTTTAAACAATAAATTTCCTTAGCAGCCTCTTCCGACACCCACGGAAAAGGAAGCGGTGGCTCGTTCTATGCCAGAACTGCATGACAGAAATTATAATAATAACTTACATTTTTTAATAGTTTTTGCCCGTAACTTTGGCGCGTGGATTTTTGAAATATATACCCGCTTCTAGATAACGTATCAAGATAAAACGTACGTCACCATATTTTAAGTTAGACCTTTAGAATGACAACTGTAAAAACCATATTTCGTATTAACAATACTTTTTGCTTGATATCGGAATAAACATACAAACAGACAAATTTTATAATTTTAATATTTTGTTGCTCTTATATTATGAGACATCGTCTACTTACAATCTCATTATAATATAAACATTATAAGATGTATGCGAACATACATCTGTATGCAAACTATATGCATCACAATGTATGCAAACTATATTTCGGAAAACAATAAATATACGACCCACTTGTACAAAAACTCGTTTTCAGAAAACATGACATAGTTCACACCAACAAAAAAAAACTATATGTATAGTAAATAAATACAAATTCTCTCGGTCAAGCACAAATACTTCACCATACTCTCCATAGATTAAAGATAGTATCTGCAATGTAATTCTCAGATATTATTATATCACCTATAATTTTTTTTAATGAAAAATGTTTGCAGGAATGAGTTCTGATGTTTTTTTATAATAATAATTCTTATATTTGGAACAAAACCATTGTTTACAATATTATTGAAAAACGATTATATCCGCAGAAGTATAAAACTGTGTCGCGAATATTAACGCCCTCCTCCTCATTGCGGAATTTCAAAACAAACCAAGTAAGACGCACAGTTTAGTTACATCAATAAAAACTAAATTTTTTGTATTTCGCAACTACAATAATTAAAAAAATGGAAAACTTAAAAATAGCAGCCTACATATTAAAGTAAAATGTGTCTGTGTGCGCGCGTATGCGTGCGTTTGTACGGGCGTGCGTGTATGTGTGTATATATGTGTGTACCCGTGTTACAAATCTCATTCAATTCCGTACAGTAATTTCTACGTGAAAGAATAACAAATATAAATCTATCCATCCATCCGTCACTTTACAAACTTTCACATTTATAATAATATATTTCATATTTATAATATAATATTATTGATATTACTTTTTTTTTTGGTATTTTATTATGAACTCTTTGACATTCATTAATAAATATTATTTTGACATTGAACACAAATATCCTGAGTCTAGATCTAAATCATATCAAGTGTTTATCGATAACAGTACTTAATTACTTACCTCGAACACTCGTTTTTAATTCAGTTTTTTTTAAATTGCATTTTTTTTTTGTCATTGATTGTGAAATTAACTAATAACTATAACTGTAAGTTGTACAATAAAAACAAGATTTAATTCTTACATAAATAATAATTAGAATAAAGAACAGGATAGACAGAGCATCATAATTCATATTAATGTTGTATTCATCGATTAAAATAGACTTGAAAATCCACCGAATCTGAAGAATTCCAATTACTTGTAATACTAAAAACTTGCGCGCTTTTTATATTCCAAAATTTTTTTTTATTTTGATGTACCTTTATGATTCCAATCCTACCTTTTGGTTTAAGCTAAAAGTTTAAGACATAAAGTAATTTTTATTCTATTTCACGTAGCCAAACCCACGGATTCCAGCTAGTATTATATAGTACTAGTGTGGTGTCAGTGTGAAGTGATTAATAATAAAATAGTAATAATACAATAGTAATTGTATTCGTCTAGCTAAACTGTATCTAAATCTAGACGATTTAGATAGAGTTTATAACTAACTAGATAGTAACTTTCCAAACTCCACATAATTTGTATAATTTTTTAAGCACTAAAATAGTTATAGAATGCCATCGTTCTAATAAAGAGAAACAATTCCATCATACATTATTTTGTTATATTTCAGCATTTCGACGAAATCTTATATATCTTGAACAATCATATTTCACAAATTTATACTAAACAATATTAAATTGTACGTATAAACCTCTCTTTTGAATCATTCTATCTACTGATGAAAACCGCATTAAAATTCGTTGCCTAATTTAAAAGATGTAAAGATGGCGGAAAGCGACATTGTTTTATACTATATACAAGTACATGATATATACTATATTATATAGTAGTAGATTATATACTATAGACATAGAGACCAGAAGATAATAAGTCTACGTCAAATCAATTTCTAATCTACTAACCAATTAAAAACATGACATGAAATGTATAATTCCAAACAAGTATTCTTACTAGTAAGTAATAAAATAAACAAGGGGACCATAACCTAGTGTGAGTTCTCATTATAATTCAGCGAGTGTGGTCAGGATGCAGGTGTCGCCTGGCATTCCTTCTTTACCCTGCTGACCCACAATTCACACATTAGCACAGATTTGAACCCATAGCAATCGATTATGTGATGTTTATAGAAGGAAAAGTGTTATTGTACACCATAACGGCCTTAATAGAGCGCATACCATAAGATCGCCGAAATCTAAATTACCTGACTAATTTTAGATAATACTAACTGACCCGGCATACATTATTTTGTCCTTCATCGCCACCTTTCTATATTTCGGGATAAAAACTACCCTTTGTCTCAAATTGGAGCAAACGACACACATTTAATAAATTTTAATAATATCGGTTGAACGCTTTTGGAGATAAACGGTAAGGAATATATAAGAACATAACCAACACGGTATTTTTATATATTAAGTTTTATTAATATATTTCTTTTTTTAAAATAACTATACAATATAAGACATTTAAATAATAGGAGACAGGCGTGTCCGATATGTATGTATGAATGTAAATATATCTAAAAATATTGTTATGTAAATAAGGAAGAAGAAACTCGGAGGAAATAAATTTATAAAGTAAATATTTAATACTTAATTGCTTCTTCCGACTTGATTACTTGACAAATAGACTAATTAGATGGATCTAAATTCTTCGCAATACGCGCTGAATTTCGACTAGGACTGTTTTACAATTTCAGTCACGAGCCGATTACGGTATTGTTACTTAACTTATAGTATGTATTTGCCGTCATCAGATACTTACCCACTATTGTTTGTTATTTCCTTACACATACAGATATTTGTGTGTATATAAGATTATTTCCTTTTTTATCATCATTAGATAGATTCTATATCTCCCTCATATTATAACACAAATTAGGATCTCACGCTATCTGCATTCATCGACTCTCCGATATTTTTGAAATCGGCACACCATCTCGTAGAGGAGTGGCTCCATGCTACACTTGTCTGCACGAGGTTGCCACTCGAGAACCTTTCCTCTTCATTCTCTATTTGGTTGCCTATCATCCCTTAAATTAAAAATAACTGTCAAATATCTTATATACACAAAACAAAAAATCAATATGAGTGTTCACTCAAAGCATGCGTGTAATGTATGCTCGTATTTCTATACTGTTACATCAACAAATTCATGTAACCCTGCAGTGCAGGAGCATATTCATGTAATGTAATATTATTTGTTACATTACATGAATATTTCCGCAGTTAGATTTAGAATTAACTTTCATAGTACGTATCTAAAATGTTATGTAAGTGGAAGTAGGTAAAACCAAGAATTACTTATAGTTTTAAAATACGTATGTACAGCATCATTTTGATCCTGTTTAATAAACTAAAAATTTATAATTACGAATTAATATACTTTTAACATAGCGACATATGACGTGAATTTCTACAGATTCATATTATCTATCAAAGACCTTCTGTAAACAATCAATTTCTTATTATAAAGTCGTTTGTCTTGACCAATTACCAATATACAACCAAAATTACTAAGTCTAGAAAGCTGAAATTTGAATTATTGCCTAATTTTATTACTTAAGCTGTAAGAGATCCCTTTATGGGATAAATCCGCCATCGTATATTAAATCTTTTTATGTATTCCGTATAAATTATGTACAATAAAGATTTTACAATACAATACAATAAGCATTCACTAAGAAAAAAATTTTGAAAACAATTTAAATAGATAAAGCGACACCACGCGTACGAATCCACGGCTAATAGCTTGTTTATAAATAATAATAACATAAATATATATAAAACTGTAAATTATAAATAAATATGTTGTAAATTGTTTAATAACCGTTATCCAATATCTACTTAATTTAAAACTAGATGGCAGTGTGTATTATATATTCAGAACTACCAAATTTCATTTATTTCATTACATTTAATACCTACCTACTATCTAATTAATACATACACATAACAACAAATCGTATCTATAAGTGGGATCTAACACTTAAAGGTTGTCGAACGGAAGTGAAACAGCAATTTCACAATCCGGACATGGCGGCAAAAATGCAAATGGACGCGCGGGACGCATACAAGATAGCGTACAACCCTTATTGCATAATGAAGATTGGGTGGGTTGGTTTGGTAGGTACATGCACGCGAGTTTTTTGATAAACAAGATCAATTTCACTTTCTCAGTTTACTTTTGAAGCAAAATGATGTCAACTATATCGTGTAACATGGAAATAGCTAACACCATCATTATCAAACATAATTGACACATTTACGGGATTTAAGAAGAAGCAACGCCGCCGGGGTTGCTGGTCAGGTCGATAATAGACATGGGCAACTCAACGATTTTTCTTGCCTCAACTCAGTAACTCAGATGCACCTCATTGCTCAATACGAACTCAAAATAGTGCCGTGGCTCACAGGGTAACTTGTATCGCTGTACTGTACGAGTATATTTTGCCATGTGGCAAAAAATGGGCGATAAAAATAAGGAAGCCTTTTCTTACTCTATATTTTATTACATTTATATACAGTCTAAACAGTTTACAAATAATACTCATATTTCTCTAAACCCAAAGCCCAGTTCACTCTTCTTCAAAAATTTTTCGGTACTGCACTGTGCACACTCATTTTGAAGAGGTGAGTTAACACATCTAGTGCAGTAAAGTGAATTAGCGCAATTGCGCAACATAGTACTGTGTTACTCCTTAGGTTATATAGATAGAATGTCTCCAAAGAAAAGCTTAAAGAAAAACGGGTTAACTTTTTATACAATTTTGCATGATAAATAGTTATGAGTAGTTCCTTTATAACGTCTATATTTATTATGTCTTGTGATTTCTGCATCTTTTTAATGCATAAGCACTCATTTTATTTATTAAATAATACAGTAGTATAACACAGTACTATGTTGCGCAATTGTGCAACATAGTACTGTGTTGTTACTCCTTAGGTTATATAGATAGAATGTCTCCAAAGGAATTCCCCACTTTAAGACATAAATAAAAAAAGGGTTTTGTAAATCAAAACGAACTCTTCACATGTAAACAATTTGTCTTCGTTATACTAGAATAATCTAAAATTAGAGAAATACTAAAAAATTGGCACTCGATAAGTATCGTAACTACTATGCAATTTTTTACCATTTAGTCTTTATCGATTTATTTTATTACGATTTATTTCAAAATGGTCTCCTACATACTTTAACAAAAACTATGAAATGTTACATTTTATACCATAATCAATCCAAATGAAAATTATGTTTAAGTATAACCTATCCTTTACAATGAAACCAGTGTTAAAAATATGTTGAAATTAAGAATTTATCCCAGGACAATCGAAATCCGAATCAATTTAGAAAAAAATATTCTCTAAACTTTTCAAAAATATTTCTAAGTACTACTTGAGCCACAGCAATCATTATATCGAATGCCCACTCTCTTGAACAAAATCCTACCTTAACTTAATCATCCAAAAATGTCCCACTGCTAATGGCGGATCTTTTCCCATAATAGCAAAATAAAGCCTACTATTAAGTACACACTAACAACTTGGTATAGAATAAATATATGTATATGGTCTCTCTTCTTTTGCACTAATGTTTTGTGCTTTGTTTGTCTTTAATGGGGTGAAGATAGAACTGTATCCTCACGCTTTCGATACTTACTAGCTTTTTACTAGTGAGTGATCATTGATCATGGGATTGGGATAAAGTCAGGTCAGTTTGTCCATCGTGGCAAATCCATAAGGAATTAACGACAATGGTTTCCAAGGAGAACTTCGTGAGAGTCAATTTAATAGGGTATATAACTAGCAATGAGGACAAATTAACCATTACTAACAATTTCTTCTCTCCTGTTTACCTCTTGTAAGATCTTGGGAATAAAATGAAGTGGTAACGTATTGTATTCTTACACTGCCATCATACGTTATACACATCACCTATTGTTCAAAAAACAGGATAACACTTGCAACATAAATACACAATGTAAACAACGTAACTGTAGCAACAAGCCGTAGACAATGGCGTGCGACAGAATTAATTCAATTTGAGACACAAAAATACTATCAAACAGAGATGTTACAAAAGCACTAAAACGTAAAATTAATTTGTATGTACGCAGTGGTGGGTGAGAGCACTGGCTATGTGCATAACAATCATCAAACTGTTGATTTATTAATACTTTGTCAATTCTCCGAATAACAGGTGTAACAATAATGATGACGATGATATGTAGTCAATATATTTTAATTTCTATATCAATGACGAGCCATAGACATTTCAATAAAAATAATACACTAACTAAGTCACTTAACAAACTATAAGAAGATTTATGATTGATACAATTCTGAGGAATCAAATCCAAACTGACATCCGTTAGTATAGGCGTATTATAGTTAGAATGAAAATTGCGAATTGTCAAAATGTTTAAAGCTAATTTAAGTAGTTATAATATTTTAGTCAATTAAGTACAAATCATAAATTATCGCTTAACATATACATTATACACAAACAACGATTAAGGGAACTTATTGATCGAAGAATGGGCAGCAGCGTCCCTCTTTAAGCATCACCAAAACCTAACAGCGGCTACCAACACGCCTGCCAAGCATAGCAACTTGTAAAACTCCCTTCATGGGTGAGGCCTATGTTCAGCAGTAAAAGTTACTTAAAGGCTGATATGATGATGATGATGATATAATATAATATGCCACACACCAAAAATACTAAAGAATTAAGAGTCTTCTTCTTTTTAAAATTATTTCAAAATGCATGTGCCTTCCCTTAATACATAAAAATCCCGTATCACGATGTTTGTTCATTCTATTTTTCGAAACAGCTTAATCGATTTTAATGAAATTTTGTAAATATATACTACTTGATAGGATAATTTTTATCCCGAGAAAAATAAATGGATATAGTAGGTGGCCATAGGGCTCATTTTGCCAGGTCTGCTAGTATTATATTTTTTATCTAAGGGGATGACAGATACACTTTTTTTAGGATTTTAACTGTTCTATTTATTAGTACCAACGTAATACTTAATTATCTATAGTGAATACTATTTACTATTTGCATATCTTCATTAAATCAAACTCATGAAAGACATTAAATAAGATGAATCTGTCTGGCTGGGAAGTAGATCTTTTTTTTTTTATTTTTGCTATAAATGCAAACAAAAAATTTACTTCACACTCTATGTGCGAAATCATAACAATAAAAATTTCATATTTACAGCCAAATTGCACTCAATCACAGTACAGGACTTTCTTAAATGAAAATAAATACTTCGCCAAGTATGAAAGCGCTTCGCAGTCTGGACACGCGCACGCGACGCGTGCCTAGCCGCCCAAAGGATCACGTATAAAAACCAAGCCCATTGAAAAATTAAATCATTGTTACTCCATTAACCGGCCGTGCCGAACGTCTAATTAATCAAATCTAATGACAAAGTGAAAACAACAAAATGAAGTGTCTTTTATTGTTGGCTTCTTTAGCCCTCGTTCGCGGTTATACCCTCAAAGACAATGAAATTCAGACGGCCCGTTTGAGTACAAGTGTCGATCTATTGGACAGTGTTATGAGTGATTGTTTTGATACCGAATCACCGGTATCATGCCTTAAAGTGAAAGTTCTTTCTTTCTTGGATACTAAGCTCGGTGTAACTTCGGAATCTGCTAGAGCTTTCGAGGAGAAAAACATTGACAAAGTTATCTTCGATCGTGTTGGGAGGATCCTAAACACAAATGAATTCAGGTTCCAGTTGCCTGAATTCTTATTCCAAGGAGCTGAAGTGTCATACAGAGCCGACAGAGGCTTCGATGTGGACTTGCCTGAATCTGATAATGAAAACGGAGAAGGTCTATATTAACACATAATTATAAATACAAAACAAAAACGTTGTCTTTTATTACCTAATTATGACTTGGTGTAACATTTTTTCAGCTCGTGGCATCTTGAAGAAGAAGCTGTTGCTGCCTGTTCTACTTCTGCTTAAGTTGAAGTTGAAGGCTTTGACGCCGATACTACTCGCAATCGTTGGTATCAAGGCGATTAAAGCTCTCATTCTTAGCAAGCTCGCGATCACATTGGTTATTGGATTCCTCGTCTACAATCTAATCATGAAGAAAGGAGGTAATAACATGTTTTCATGTTTCACATGCATTATTAGTCTCACAAACAACACATAAGAATACCCATAATCTTGTACAATACGTATCGTCGTCAATACACATGGGTTAAATAATATGTTCCCCATGAACATAAAGATTCGAGACTCCTAAAGGATTAAATCTTTCTTGACAAAAATTATAAATAATACATAACGCAACATGATTATTTCTTCAGTCTCCATTACACAGAAGTATTAAAATCTAATGAATATTCATATTTACAGCAATGCCAATGGCGATGGCACCAACTGAAGCCCCTGCCCCACCTGCGTCCCAATACGGCCCACCATCTTCACAATACGGACCTGCAGCGTCAACACCGGCAGCGCCCCAAGATTCTTACAGTCCACAGTGGGAACCTTCTGCTTCTGGACCCTATTCCAGGGTGTGGGATCCTTCACAACTGGCCTACAGCTCATACTACTCTGGTGACTCGAGTTCATCAGCAGCCTCAAACCAGTCACCTAGCTATTCCAGTGTAGCTTCTATCTCATCATCGGTCTCATCATCATCATCATCGCCCACCCACTAAAAGAACTTCGTCTTACCTCATGTAAAATACACGAAAGCACTCGAATGGTCTTGTACATAAAATGAAGGCACGGTTAGGAAAAGCGAAAGTTTAGCGCTAGTTTATTTATGTCGATATTTATTTTATTTATTGAACACAATAAAAAAATGTTGTTTTTTTTATTACTGGCATTATTTCTTGTGACTATAAATGTGTATCAACTTATTTTCCCTTCTTGAAATCACCATGGTTAACTTCTAATTAAGTCGTTCAACTAGCTAAGGAAGTTCATTCTCACCTATTATCCCTCTCAGCGTACCAGCGTAAACAATCCATTTACATCTCTCTAAAAACAACAAAATTTTGTTATTATGTATTGTAATTATACTTACAATTCAAACAATACATAAGTACTAGAATATATATGTTAGTATGTATTGTTTGATTTCAATCATACCTAACAGGCATCATAAAAATTCAAAGTAGAAAGTATCATAAATGCATAGCAAACGAAACGACCCACAATAGTGTCCATATAAATCATGGATACTTTTTATGTGTCAGTATAGATCCCTAGACGCTTTCCCTGTGCTCATTGCTTATTTATAAAACTTTATTGTAGGTACTGTGGGTAGGTATGTGTCACCTTTTAGGGCCTGCGCAAACAAGGGACATTTCATGGACTTTCTCTTTTTTTATACAACTTCGAATGACAAACAAGCTAACAGCCCGCCTGATGGAAAATGGTAGCCGTCGCCTATAGAGATGAACCGCATCATGTATATCACAGAATATACTATGACGCCCAGGATAGGTACCCCACATATGCTGCTATACTTCGTTCCCTGTAATTTCACTGCCACATTCTACCCTAAAAACCAATACTTGACGACAGAAACACGAACGGAACAGAAGTACTCAAGCAGTCTTTCTCTTTATATTATCCTCATATACCTAGTATTTTAAATTCAACGAGTGACTATCCTCAGCTTATATTTAAGTTCAGTCATAATAAAACACTAACATTTTTTTTCTTTTTTTGTAACACGGAAGGCAAACAAGGATGTGGCTCGCCTGATGGTAAGTGATTAAATTACACATAAAATTGTATGTATACAAATGCTACAAACAATGGGTAATTTATCTTTGAACAAAAGTTACGAGCCCCAGCACTACGATTTAGGTATTATAAGAATTAGGTATAAATAGAATGAAACTATATACTCAATTTGTTTCCTTTAATCTTTATTCAATAACTGGATTAGTATATATCAGATGATTACTAGAAGTGTTAAAAATTGTATTGAACTAATTCTAGTTATATTAGTGGAAAAGTGGAAAAATACGGTTATAATTAGAGGTCGTAGGTTCCATTATTGTCACAAATGTAAGGATTGTACAGTTAGGATCAATTACTATATTATAATTATCAAAATGTTAAATAATTTTTGGAAATCATTTATTGCGGTATCCAAAAAGTTGGTAAATTTTTATCTTCAAAAAAGACTCGAATTTCTTTAAGTACAGATAATATGTACGTATTTACTATTACTCTTGTAGCAGTGCCATAAGTACTTCAAGTACTTTATTTAAATCTAATATCCATTCAATACATTTATGCTTACACCGACATATTCATCAATAATTCCCAAAAATTATTAATCAACTTGTGAGACAATTTTTATTGTCACTGTAGGTGACATTTCTTTAAATATACATAGTAACGTATCGTTACAAAATATTCATCGTAATACTTGAACAACAGCTTCAACTATGCATTGTTTTTTTTATTACAAACAATTATGATATATAGCGCTGAACCGTACAAAAACTACAATTCAGTATTCCATTTTCTTGTAGCTTCTGTTACAAACAAAACTTACTAATTATGTCTCTTATCTCATCGAATTTCGTCTTTATACCTCAAACATCTCAGCCTCAAACTAATTGGATCATCAAAGATAAAATTATGAGGACAGGGATAATTGTAGATGCTTTGTTTACTTTGCCATTATTTAAATTAAAAATAAAATTTGGAAAAACTAGAATTCTGTATGTAGTTGAAAATTCCTATTATTCCAGTTACGTCTTGTGAATCATTGCATTATTTTTCAAGACTGTAATTTATTTTTATAGTTAAGCGTTGAACTTTAGCTACTTCATTATTTTAGTTTTATTAGTAGTCGTGCAAAAATAATAAAAAACTTTATAAACGTAAAAATACAATATAAATACGCTATTTACAAAGGCACTACATCTATAAAGTTGAAGGTACGTTTAAAGTGATAAGGGTGAAATTAGTTTGTACTCATAAAGGCATATTTGGATCAAGAAGATACCTACGTGATTCCTATCTAACAGAATTATATGTAAAAATTTATACAAGTACCAAAAATTTATACGCAAATAATTTAATATACAAATTAGAAAATAATAGGTATTTTATTATAATGTAGATAATACTTGCATTAAATAAAAATATTTCTATAAATTTCATTAAATTGAGCCTATAAACATAACAAATGAAAAGCAAGCTGCCATGGTAGCTCACTCTGAAATATCATAACCATTACTTATATGCACATGGATGGTTCCTCGTCCCACGCCATACAATAAATCAATACAATACAATAAATGTTATAAACCCCAGTAATCCTCGATCTCTATAGAATAACTATGATTAAAAAAATCCGCGTTTTTCATCATAGTCAATTAAATAAGAATTCATTAATAAGGGACTGTTTTGGCGTGCTCTTTAAGATGAAAATGAAATGGTAACTCTGCCTGCGCTGACGGTATATGCAAACGTGGTACCAGTGAGAGATAAAAAGTGAAGAGTGACGAATTTCAGATGAAACCGCGTGAATATCTACCTGACAAGGTAAATTTTTAGTAATGGAAATTAGATTTCCCATTTTCATTTCCATTTCAAATCCGGGTTTTAACCCGGGAATGAAAGAGGTGAGATATACTCAAACACGTGATTGTAGGGAACACAAGCTGCTTCATTTTACCCTCTAACGGGGAAGAGGGATGCAGCATAAAGCTTTTTTGTACCCCGATGCCGAATGTGCTTTAACAGTCCTAAGTGTATCTGTAGTAAGTAGATATCCATAAATTTCCATATAAAAGTCAAGATACCAAGTCTAATGTGCATTTATTACATGTACATACAATATTGCAAAGAAAATACAGGGGCAGGCTCTAAACGAAAAGATAGTAAATATAATAGTGCATAAAATGATTAATAATTAAGGTATGTATTATTTTTTTTTTTTTGTTTAAAAGAAATATATCTAATTAAGAACAAATAAATGAAAATTTAATATTAAAAGAAAATGATTCTACAATGTAGGGTTAAAGCTATATTTCACAGCCTTTGACTAAGGAATTTGTCTCGTAAGGAGAGTGTAGTATTAGATAAAATCTGTAAATAGAAGACAAGGACAAGATTAATTAAACGTGTATAAATGTTTAGATATGATTATATTTTAATCATACACATAACACGATTCAATAAAAAAATATCGCCAAACGAGATTAAATGTTCAAACTTTCAAAAATATTTTAATAGTAAAAAAAATAACGATAATGAGAAAACGTAAATAAATTTATAATTAAATTACCAGCCTGTCTACCATTATGTACAATATTATATATCGATACATAACAGTTGAATTAGAAAAGTTCTTCAAAGTTGTTGATTCCTTAGCCTCTTTATTTTTTCTTTCATTTAGTATTGCGTATGTATGAAGGTAAATTGTGTGATAACAAATTCTATAAACACATTTATATATTTATACTGTATGAGCTTATATATTAACACAAATCAAAAAACGTTATTTTTTCATTGAAACATGTTAATATTATATGAATATTTAGATATGTATTATATAAGTATGCATTTATTAGTAGATAAGTGCAGATTTAGTTTATCATATTTTACCGTAGATATAAATGTTCACGATAAGAATAAAATAAATCACATATAATAAAGTAATTTAAATTTAAATACATTTTATAAAAGAACATCCAGTAATTGCAGGTAAATAGATAGTTACAAAGTATTAATAGCATGAAAAAGTAACACATATAATACAATATGATTTGCGTGCAGTTTTTAGTAGTAAATTTATATGCAATGTATTCTATGATTAACGTTTTAGTTCACTAGCCGAGCACTTTTTAAATAATCCATCAGAAACATTAAAAATTGAAAATTGGCAGATAATTACAACTTTGCCACAATTCGGTAAGCTAAACAAATATAAAACATAGGGTTGTAGGTATTTATTGCATATCATATATAAAAATAATTTTCCGGGTTCGTAGTTCAACCGACGAGGTGGCATGAAAACATAAATACATATATACTTAGATAGGGTAATTAGTAAAAAAAACTAGAACAAAACTCCATAATTGCCTTTATCTGATGGCCTTATGAAGATGACAAGCATGTTGCCTTGCTTATATGAGGTACATATTGTGACAAACAAACCTTTTGATTCTGTGTGTTTTAGATGTGACTCGAGATGTTAGTTTCGTTACTCGTAACACAGAAAATTCTCGTTTGTGATATACGCAAATGTCAATTATCTTAATTTTTTTAATGTATCTTTAAATTAAGTATTAGGCATTGAGACACATGAAAAGATGATATCAGCATAGAATGTCCAATACTACCACTTATAAGACGATAATATGTATTTTGCGCATTAAACTGAAGATTTGAATTAACTTAAATTTTTATAGTTAATTTAAAAATTAAAATTCATTTAAATCCACCCTCCGGTTTCATTTCGACCACGACATAATTGTAGATTTTGTGGTCTAAAGATTGACAGGTTTTTGTCATCATTCGAACATTATTGTCTAACTTCTGTTACCTATAGGGAGAAGAATGTGGCAAATAGAAAACCTCATATAAATAGGATGAGAGTCACAACAAATCTCGTCAATTGGGACATATTTCCAAAAATATCCCAATTGTAGAACTCTAGTAACTTTACATAATTAATGTCGCATACAGTTGTGCCTAAATATCATTAAAAAAAATCTTAGTAAAAAATACAAAAGTAAACCTATATATAGAGATAACATACAAGTATAACCGAAAGTATTATCTTTTTAAGACATCCTCTTTACTAAATTTTTTTACAATATAGAGGGCAAACGAGCATGCGGCGCACCTGATGGTAAGTGACTACTGCCGCTCATGATCACCCACAACAGCAACGGCATTGCAGGTGTACTGCTGGCTTTTTAAAAAGGAATAAGCTCTTTTCTTGAAGGTTATGATATCGTGTCGTAAATATCGCAATGTTGAAATTTTAAGTCACACGGTGTAATTTTATCATTACTTTATACAAGATGTTTTTAATAATAATTTTAGTTTATATATGACTACATAATAAAATACTTTAAGAAGGGAATGTGATTTTTTGTAAAATAATAATAAAGGACAGCTTCGGTCCCTCTTCGTTCCATAGAAAAAAGACCGACATACTACTTCGTATCTAAGAACAAGGAATTACAATTCTATTCCGAAATCTTTGCTTCGTATATATGAATAAAAAAATAATGATAATCATAAAACTTGACAGTAAATCGCGTCGTTGCCATGCTTAGTAAGGACATCCAACCTCTTAATTTTACTGGACCAACTGAACTGAATTACAAATTTTTATTATTAAGCCTAATACTGAAGATCAATCATACTTATTGATTACTAATAAGTATTTTTACATTATGTATTATTCAAATTACGTCAGTAAATTACTATAATACCTATGGCATAGCAAACATTCTTTATTGTCATTAGATAATACTCTATTATAATAATATGTATTCTTACTTTACGGCAGTAGGAAAATTAGTATATAACGAGTTATGTTACTATATAACTCGTTCATTTTATTTATATTTCATTTTCATATAGATTAACCAAACAATTCTCATAATTTATTGATAAAAAAACTATCATTTTTTCGTCTATCATATGCTGATGATCTAAAAATAACCAAAATGAGTCTAAAATTGTTTTCTTTTTCCAATATCTCTTCTTATGTACTTCTAAAATATTATATAACTACTATACATAATAACCTGCGGAGCCGATATTTCAAGAAAGCACTCGGTCCAAGTTTCAAGGTCCACCAAATTATATTTTCAAGTAAACACTGCGGGCAACCCTTCTTTGCGTCGTAAGCGCTTTCGAAAGTGTCGATCTATTTTTTCCTTATTAATCAAGGAATCCACTGGGTGCCATCGACGCTACAGTGTTGATCCTTTTATATTACTCATCAAAGCGAGAGCGCTATCAGAAACTTGAGCAGGGGCACCAGGTACGCTAAGGACAAGCGCAGTAAAATTTTCTGATATTCTAGAAAGAGAGAGATAGAAAGAGAAATGACACATTTTACGAGGGTAAAACTGTCCATAATAAATTTCTTTACAAATTATAACGGAATAATGTAAAATATTTACACCTATGGGTGTATATAATTTAATGAAGCACGGCTCTATCGTCACGACATAATATGAAGGCAAACTGTATTGCAACTGTAAGATACTTTTATCTTGTACGTCTAAAATATGATTGTTAAAAATTATAAGTATCTCCATCCTATTTGCATTTCATTTTGCTTTCATATTATATGGTGAAGATAAAATTGCGGCATACCTTACTGTACTACAATAAATTATAATACCACATTAATTCATCCTCATACGCTTTGACCTAAATGGTCACATATACTGCGGTTTCAAATGAATTTTCTTCATGAACGCTCAGGTTGTGGAATGAGCCTATCGAGATTTCCCCTAAAGACTTACAGTATGGAGATTTTCAAAAAGGGTATAATTAAGATGTCTTCAGATTCGGCAACGCGCACGTGACAACCCTAGTGTTGCAGGCGTTCATAGGTTACAATAACCGTTTGCCATCAAACGGGCTGTTTGTTTGTCACTTTCATGGTATAAGAAAAAATGTCCATGTGGTAAATGACCTACGAGTATAAAATACATATTTACAAAAATTTACAGCAAACTACATAATTGCAAATAAAACCACGAAATACCGGTATAAAATCAATAGAAGATGGTTAAGGCACCAGGGTATTTATATCAACTTTACAATTTCGCTTGCCTTAATAATGATAATGTTTAATTCATAGCTTTAGTCGGTTTATAATAGATACTGGGGTTCAATTTGAAGTGCCATTGGCTAAACTGATCTCCAAAACTTTTTATTATAGTAGTGATTTTTATTATAGTATAGTAATAGTAATACTATATTTTTTTTAATTATTAGTTTTATACTGCATTATGATTGAAAGTTTTATGATTTGAAAAATGTCCTTAGAATAATGATTTCGCTTTACCAACTATCAATCTGTAACTTTAGTTCTAGAGATCAGAATCAACCTCACCATGAGTGTATATTTAATCGTAGTGTATGAGTAGTCAATTGAATGTATTTTTAAGAGACCTTTCTCAGAACAAAGCTGAACATAAGGAACTAAAGCATGCTTCTTATATTGCAATGCCGCAATATCCTCTTAAATGCTGAATGAGTCAAGACAGATTCTCTAATTTCTTAACACATTCACAAAAAACAAGAGGAACTTGATACAGCCATCCCGGCACTTCAGTTTATTAGTTGTCTAAAATAATATGTATTAATGAATGTGTCCGAATTTTTTTGTTTTAATATATTGATGCAGTAGATGTAGGTTTTTATGAAAATCGGATTTGATCATACAAAACGTAGAACAACTGACAATTTAGGGAAAAAGAAGAATGAAAATTGCCTGGCTGTAACTACCTAGCACACAGCATAATTCTCATGCATTTTCCTATTTATCAGCGAAGTGTCATTCTCTTCTGCAATTCCCTGACAGCCGTCATACATAGATTCACTTCTCTTTTCTGCATAACATCTTTAAAGTAGTCCATCCTTCTTTTTTCGATCGTTCCCTCTTTACATCCTATTTCATCCCATTCCTTTATGTCCTGTTAGTATCTTTAATTATAATCCCAAAATTAGACATTTTTGGCAAATTTCCAATACACGATTATTTATTTTATGTCGTTATGTTTTTTAAATTACTGGTACGATATTGCGCAATAAGTAGGTAAAATGAAAAAAAAGAACATAAAATAAAAAACTTTTACTATACATTAAATAAAAACTAACAATCGCTATTAGGGCAACATAAAAGCACTGATTATTTTGATCATAACTACAGAAGATCTATTTGGTCTGAAGATTTGAACACATACCTAACAGATGACGAAGTTAGAACACAGCACCTTTTTTAATGGGAATTCTATTGGCAATACACTAAGACACATTAATATTGGACAAAATTAAACAAAGTCAATAAAATGATTAATATTTCAGTCTAAAAAACTTAATTTATCGCTAATCCTTTTTATAAAGTGTTAAAGAAGTGAGATTTAAAAAAAATAGAAAACATTTTACATCTAAAGCCTGCCAACATTCAACAGTTGATGATCCGACAATTGATAGATATTATATTAACTTTAAGATTTACAAACTTAATTTGTCTAAACAAGGAAGAAAATTATAGCTTTATAAGTGATTTACGCAAAACGGCCCAAATGAGAGGCTAAGCGCGGATTGTGACCAAATCAAAAAACCGCATTCCAGTAATGAATCTATCATTTTATCATAATTCTTATTATCTCACAGATGAGTAACGAAAACGTGTGTTTCCTATACATTTCCAATTGGTAATATAAAAGTTCTCCAGTATGCGAGAGGAAGATAATAATAAAATTCGAATTAATCAAAAACAGTAATCCAGTATTATAGTAAAACCAAGTATTCTTTCAACCACCTATAAATTAAAAGTATAAATAAATGCTTTTATTGGAGTCTTGCAAACACCTGTATTAAAAGAATATTACTATGAAATTAGGGCAACAATTCAATAACTTATAATGCTACAAAATGCAACCGTTGTACTAACATAGAAACCAACGCTAAAACTGTGCGTAACAAAGCTAACATAATGACATTTAAATTTGAGATTAAATTAGTTACCTATTTATACTTAGTATACTATAGTAGCACTTTGGATTAATATTTAATATACAATACTTATGAAACTGGTCAAAATACTAGCATATTATTAGGAGTACTAATAAAATCCCGTGACAGTACTATATGAAAAATTTCTCCAATATACTTATCACATGAATTAATTAAAACATTGTTCATTTGATTCGAGTGGCTGTAGAATTTTAGGTTGAAAATTAAACAGTTTCAAACATACTGTATATGATTTAAGATAACAATATATAGGTGAAAAACTCCAAAAAATTAAAAAGAAAATAGTTGCTACAATAAAAATCAGAGAAAAATAGCAACAGAAAAATATACAATAACCCTTAACAGAATTATCACGTCATTACAATTAAATTCCAGCTACAAATTCGTGAATATTTCTTAGATACAATATATTTAATATGTCAAATCTGCAAAAAATTAATTACCAAATACAATAAACAATTTGTATACATTTTACAACTGCTTTGTACTAGCTACAATATAAATATTTTGCACTTACAAACTTGAACAATGTGTATAACTTTACATATGCCATTTATAATACACCATTACAAATAATTGTAATTTCAAATTTATTTTCAAGAAACAATTTGCAAAATCTGTGCTCAAAATAATATTATACATACATAAGATCATGTCTTGTCATTCATGATCATTCATGTCATGAAGATACAATGTCTTTATTTTATTTTTATCTAAGCACATAGTGGACTCCTGGTGCCTCGCTCAATTAATAAGCTTAACAAAATACAGCAAAGTAATGCCAACAAATGCTTAAAACTAACAAGCATATTAGTTAAAAATAAATTTAAAATTACATAATTTGTAACAGTGTAGATAATAATATGAGTAATTTATAATATAATCAATAGTTTAAATCTTAGATATACTGTTCATGGCAAGTCCGTATTGTAACCAGCACTGGAACACTAGCGGTATATTTATCTTATATATTATGATATATATAGTAGAAGCGTAATTTTAACTTAAATATTCTAACATCGTTATTTACATTAGTAGTATATCATAGGAATACGAGTATATAATATTCACAAAACTATTTGTGACATATATGAAGGAGAACTATGTCCAGTTACAGACAATAAACAACTGAAATGATTGTCATATTTTATTATACTCTAATTCTCCTTTAGTGAATCAGATAAATCAAAGAATTATTATTATTCTTTTGTGTTACTAGTATAAAATTAGTAACCCGATATAATAGATAGTAACAGATGACCCTACACTGAAGAATGTAGTATCAAGCTTGCATTACAAAAAGGTTAAAGACCATTCTACCCTGTATGTTTTAGGTTCTTCAAGCTATATGTATAAAGAGTTAATTGCCCCTTCCACCTATATTCCAAACAATAATTCTATTTCACTACCAAATAAATATGTTAAAATTAAATTTATTACACATTGTGTTAAAATAAAAAGATAATATTTAAACAACTGATAATGTCCTATGGTATAACACCAATGTCATGACATGCATACTTAACATTGTCGAAACATCAATCAAACATACCTTATTTAATAATATTCGTCAATTTCTACTATATTAATTTAAACATAAGATAACTATTAAAAATTGATATATCAGTCAAACAATTATGTAAACTTGACTTTTAACAATCAAAAGTCAAGCATGATATACACACTTAAATGACGCGTATATTCAGCATCCAGGTTTTCAATATCTCTGAAGGTCACTTTGAGGTGATTTTATTAGAATTTGTTGATGTATATTTTCTGTAAAATGTATTTTCATTTTACAAACTACTACAGGTGTACCGTATAATTTTTCCTTCGCAACTAGATGTAACTAAATTATTATGTGTATTGTACAATGGGACAATACTTATGATTAAATGTTTTCATTAATAGTAAAATAATAATAAAAATTATAACTACGCGTCATTTAAAAAGTTATCAATATACATTGCACCTAGTAAACACCACCATATCACACTGTCACTACACAATCACTTCACTGTCAGGGTCGCCTCGTGAGAAAATTCCAGAAGGTGCCAGCATGGGTAACCTTCCGCTATATGGCGTCCCAGGGTATGGAGACGATGATGGGGCACAACCGCGTAAACAGCAGTCCACAGAGGATGCCCGTTACGAGCGTCGCTGCACCCAACATCCCAGCCGTAGCCGCATGTTCCGGGGCCACGTTACTGAAACAAGTTTATCAAATTAAAATAAGTAAAAAAAAGGGCTGCTCTGTCAGAAAAAATGAATTTTTACATTTGAAAATCGCACCAAACTTAAAAAAATTTAATACGGCGGCAAAATTTATAGCCAACTCAGGATGATATAAAGATTCCAACATCCAAATCTTTTCAGGCATTTACAAGTTATAGTGGACTAAAAAGATACATTCATATATATGTATACACATATATATATATATATGTATAACGCATAAAAAAATCACACCTGTCTTTTGAGCAATCATGTAAAAAATAAACAATTATGCTTATTATGGTTATGATTAAGTGTATTTTGTGATGTCCGTGCCTTATTAAAATATATATTTATTTTTATAATTCATGTCTATAAGTGACGGTTACCATTTTCCTTCAGGTATACTGTCAGCTTACTTGCCACTCTATGTTCCATAACAAACAAAAATTGTGAAACCAGATGTTTTGTCTGTCATGAAGTATTCAATTCAGACATTAACATATATTTTTCTTTGTGTAGCTTTGAAATATTTGTTTTTTTTTCTTCAATCTCAACAACAACTCATTTTTAACACATCTTTTAATATATCTTTGAAGTTTATCACTTAGTAGGAACCAATGCCCATACATAACTAGATATGAAATTACACTCACCCGCTAACATACATCATGCCGAGGGAGCTCCCATGGCCAGAGCTCCACCCCATGAGGGCTGACCCGATCCAGTATACCCAGTCGTTTGTCACCAGCACGGGTATGGTCCGAACATCGGCCTTGTAATTACACGCTAAGAAGAATGGTATGAACAGAAGTCGCAAGGTTGTGAACACTGCCAGCCAGCGGCGAGTCGGCTGAAAGGAAAGATATTATATTGAAAAAAAAAAACTACATAACAAATAGCAAGTCTCTGTCCGCATGGTATCTGTATAAATAGGTACCTTTGTATCATACAAAAGAATAATAGTTTTGCTGGTGTTTGGAGTACTAATTTTTTATTATTTTCTTCTTATAAAAAGCACCATTTAATTATTTCTCTTTTTATTTTTTATCCAAAATTAAATACGATTGACACCAACAATTTGATGACGCTATATAACGTTAAAACTTGGATCACATTTTTTCTCATCTAAATATAGTAAATGGCCTTAATAAAATTAAACTGCAACATAAAGTTCTCTACTCGTATTGATTTGATTGAAACATTCAAAACTATATTAGTATATATATTATATTATTTACCAGAGGGAACAAAAGTCGTTTGCTTGGGTACCTCTATCCCATTCGTGTTTCAACCGTAAAGCCGAATCACAGCCATTCAAACACAACTGTTTGAATGGCTGTGTTTCAGTTTGAAAGATGGGATATGGCGTGAATTTACAGGGTACTGAGGAATAACACCCGAGTCCTCAGGAATGGCAACGTATGGGGGGTATCATGGGCGAAACAGTATACTCTGTTATGTCCATGATACTGCTTATGTCTATAGGCGAAGATTACCACTTTTCATCAGGTGGGCCGTCAGCTTGTTTGCCATTCTAAGTTGTATAAAAAAAATTATAGTTCAGAAGTGTTGATGGAGCTAGACAGAACGTTACTTCATCAGGCTAAACAATTTTTGCTTCTCGGTATTTACTCAGACTTAGAAGGCAACCAGATATATGGGTGGGAATAAGGTAGTGACTCTTTTAATATATCTACAGCAGATGATTATTGCATAGTACCATTGAAGTTCCTATTACAAATATCTCCTTTTGAATAGCTTAAGTTATATAAAAAATACTTAAATCTTAAGATGGAAAACACACTGCCACGCACAGAGACCACTACGCGAAATGTGGATGACCTTTTAGTGCATATTTCACATACAAACATAAATAATTGCAGATGACTCGGAAAAACGCAGCAATACGCCAAACTGTGTAGTACGTAGCAAATTGTTTCCCACCAAACAAGTACTTACAAACTGCCATAAACTGGCTGTGATATTCCCAATCATGGCCATTAAATTGAATGTCAAGAAACATGTAATCATAGTAAAATTGTCTCCAAGTAAATCCATTGATACAGGCTTAATATCTGAAATATAAAAAAAAAAATTACAATCTTACAACTTTTTTGGGAGGTATGCATTTTGGCGAATGAATTTTGATTATTTTTGATACTCAATGATGAATATAAGAAAATATTCAGTAATAAAAAATAAATAAATAGCATCCTGTAAAGATGTTCGCATGTTTAAATGTTCATAACTTGATCACACTTAAATGTATAATTTCAATGAAATTTAGTACGCAGATTTTTTTAACGGATGATGATAGAATGATAACCCCGCCTGCGCTAATGGTTTACGCTGACGGGGCACCATTGATGGATTATAGTTAAAAATCTTGAATACACATGGAATTCAGCACGACCGTTTCCAGAGGGAACCACAAGGAGGTAGACCTGCAAGCGTATATTACTAGCATTGGGTCTGGTAGTCTGCATTACTAACAATTCCTTCCTCCTCTGGTACACAGGTAGACCAAGACGTAGAGCCAAAATTAAAAGAAAAGTCGCGGATTACGTATAGTAAATAAACTGACCAGAATGCACGGACGGGAAGATAGCGAGCGTGACGAAGAAGACAATGAATATGTTGTATATCTGCACCCAGGCCTGACGCAGGATGGTGCCGTATGGCTGGCCGGGACGGGGGTCGGGCCGCGCCTCGTTGTTGGTGGCGGCGAGCGCGGGATTCACTCGGAGGGTGCGTTGCTGTAGTGTATTGTGGTAGCGGTAGAACCTCTGTGGAATGGGTTTTATTCAATATTACTTGCCAAACTCAAAGTTTTGAATATCTGAATTACATTTATATTAATCATAATCTTTAAGCATTAGACTTTGATTCGACATAATAATAGCTCAAACACGAATATTTTTTATACAATTACTTTGTCTAAGATTTTTCAAATACAATTTACAAATGATACTTAATTGTTGGAATATGTTGTATTTTTATATATTGAAATAATTAAAAATTAAATGTGTTTGAATATAACAGATTTTTTTTTAAAAACTGTTTAACACTTGAATTGGATACTTCTCTATTAGATGTCTAGAACTATGTTTATAATAGCCTTAGTTCTATAATAGAATTATAAATTATATATTATAACAGACTTAGCTCTATATAGATATAAGTTACTTTTCCGTATTAACCAATTGTCACTCACATTTAGAGGCAATGCGAAATATGTGTCGAAACAGATGAGCAGCACGAACATGCCCGCTATAAAGTAGTATATGGCGGCAGTGCGCTTGCTCTCGAACAGGCCAGAACTCCAACTGAGGAATACCACCAGAGTCCCGCAAATGTTGGAGCCCAGTACCACGGCGCCGGTGTACTTGGGCGGCAAGCGGGCGGCGACACCGTATACGGAGTTTTGAAAGATTGCGTTGAAAGCTGAAATGGATATATTAAATACATTAGATCAGAGCAAACAAAATGACAATATAAAAAAGGTGTCTTATTTTAAATCCTTTTGCATTTTTTAATGATTTCTTTGCAATAATTACGGGCAACAAATTAGCACAGTTGTATTATAATCCCTAAAACGTCAAAACCAAAATAATTTAATTTGTTATGATTTATTATATATTTATTTTCATGTCTACATTATAATTTCGCCATCAGCTGTATAAGAGGAACAATAAAAAGTTTTAATTCTTTTAGTAATTCTTGGTACTGGCAAAAATACGAAAAAGTTTAAAAATCTATTTAATCTTAAAACACTCACCATTTAGCAGGAGAACGGACAACATGGTAAGCCAGAAGAACACCTCTGGCCACTCTTTGCTGTCGAGCATGGCTAGGATAATCGTGAATACGAATATTGCCACTTCGATGCATAGCGACCAAACGATACGCGTGGTTAGGTTCCCTCTGAAAAAAAAAAGGTATTTTTTTATCATAAATTTATTAGATCATATAGGTTTTATAAAAGATTCGAAGGTGTTTTTATGGCTATTGCTGGCATTAATTAGAGGTAAACGCTCAATTATTGGTTATGAATCTACCATCTGACACGAATACACCACCTTGGTTCTCAGAAATGGCAAGTCGCAATACATGTGAAAAAATAAGAGCGACACAATAATAATCTGTTATGAAGCGACTTCAAAAAGGTTCTCAATACAACTCCATTAAAATATTCAATTTCTTTAGAATATTTTACCTTTTTATTTTCATTAAAAAAAAATTGTTTGAAAAAACAATTAAATTGTATTCCACAAGAAACAGACTTCAATTGTGGCAAAAAAAGTTTTTCTGATTTAAAATCAAAACTACTGAATCGATTTTGATAAAATGTCTATAATTATAAAATCTGTAAGTATATTCTTTCAGATAAAAAAGAATTTTCCAAAAACAACTGACGGAGTTATGAAGTAACAAACATAACAAAAAATACAACCGAATTGAGTACCTCCTTCTTTTTGAAATCGGTTGAAAACAGATGACACTTAAAATTCTAAAATAGATTTAGGAGATGTTTGACGTCTTTATAAGGGGTGCTCATTTATCGATACTACTACACAATTTAATATATACTTAACTCACCCAAACTGAACAAATATATTCATCCAATTGAACACAACGTTGGGTATTTGACTCGCCCAACCCACATAAGCTAAGTAGTGCTCCGCGTAGTTCTTTGCATCAACCAATTTATAATCGACAAAGTAATCTTTGGCAGTGATAAACATGTTCCAAGCTGTTAGCGTGCCAAGGCCGTGTATTATCAGTGTCAAATAAATTAGGTTCCATCGATCCTTAGGGGGCGCCAAGTCCATTGCAATACCTAAAAATAAAAAAAAAACACTAAGTACAACACAATCACATCAAACGTCTGATCCTTAACCTAAGATTACCTGTGTTATAAGTTGCCAGGCAACTAACGTCTGAAGGTCATCACAACCCAGACAGATTATTTATGTACCTCTTTATACAAAACCTAAGTTTTTATATTTCTATACATAATTATATTATTAACCATATATTTCCTTACACATTTCGTTTTTGTATAGATATTGATAATGGAAAGACAAAATGTATTCACCACCACATTGGCCGATATCGAGTTAAATGTTATTAAATTCAATTTTTACTTCTGCTTCAAATAGTATACTTAATAAATTAATAAGAGCAGTCGGTAATAACTCAGCTAAGTCACAAAATGACTAACCACAGAAATTCCTTCGGTTTACTTTTTTTCAACTTCTCATTGTTTCTTATAAGGATTCCATAACATAGGTACAAAGGAACAGTTATAATGCGACTTTATCTATCCATCCGTCTGTCACAATGCTTTGTCTCAACAACTACAAATGCTATTAATTTAAAATTGGGATAGTTTTAAATATTGTTGACTCACAAATATTGTAAAAAATATTTTTATTGAATAGACCCAAAAGATGTACTAAAAATTTCAAAATAATCCCACTATTTCTCCAAAATAAGAATTAGGAATTGCAATATCAATGATAATAACCATTAGATGCCCACTTTGTATAATAAAACATGTAATAAATGTAAATTCGTGATTTATACCATCATATTGCCGGTTATTTTACGTTCTCGTTTCGTGTCGTATTACTCTTTTGTAAAATTCACTAAATGCCGCATAATACATTCCTACCTTTCCAACATCGATATAGTCGTGGTATAAAAACTAATATTTAAAAAAAAAAAATTCTTCCAAATATAATCGTATCGTGATTAAAATTAATATGAGCCCAACGCGGAAGTAAACAATCAATTACAAAAAGAATTAGAAAAATCGATTCAAAATTATAATATCATACAAATATTATTGTATAACATTTCACGTCATGTCCTTTTAAAAATCGCTTAACAACTGGCTGTTGGCCAGTTGTTGGCATGTCGGAACCAATTGCCATTTTAAAAATTACATAAAATTTAAATCTGCTTAAAGCAAACGCTTTATATTATATGCCACGTGATGTAGATTTTGCCAGCTGTGTAATTTGCCTTAACATTTTAAATATACAATTTCTATTATACATACTTATTGTATTAAATATTTTATATTTTTATATTTATAATTTTATAAACCGAAATTTCACTATAAATTTTAATCATGACAAAATACTACAACAAAGAAGCAAAATCTGTAAAAATAATATAAGACTAAAAAAAAATATAAAGACCTGTAAGATTTGGCGAAGATACTTATCGCATAAAATATAACATATTGGTAAAGAAATTACTTTTAGATGTCTGTAAGTAAAAAAATGTCGCAATACTTAGGTGCACACGAATTTATTGAGAAAACCCGCATGTGTTTTAGTAAAGCTTTCATTTACCCACTGTGAAAATGTGCCTACGGTTATTTGTAACTGTGACACTGCGTTGGAAAGTGGGACAGACTTGCAAATTTTAATTATTTCTGCCTATACATCATCTATAATAATAAGATACTCGGTCTTGACGTACATTTTGAAAACACAAAATGTGCCCCTCCTGTGCCAGGATTTGAACCTGCGACCCTACATCGAAGGTCCTATACTTCGGCCACTAGACCAAAGCGGTCAAGAGATCAAAGACCAATATAACTATCTATATTTAGACGTACATAATATACGGAAAAGAATAAGTTCAACTAAACGTATTATACAAAAACAAAAACCCAAAGTAAAAATTATGTTTGAATGTAAGAATTAGAATAAAATGTTTAATGTGAATGTAATGTAAGAATACATGTATAGTATATAATAATTGTAAATTGTATGTATATAATTGTCAATAGTAACAGTAAATATTTTAATAATCTAGTTATAGACTAATTCAAAAGTATACGGAAATAGAACGCATACCATACATGATAAATATTAAAAAAAAACTGGCCTTGTGCACTTTGGATTCGCACAACCTGGCTTTGGTAACAAGCCTTATTGAGATTATCACAAAAACACTCTCTAAATATAATTAGTAATAAATCAAACCATTTAATCGAATCTTTATTTGAACTACTACTAAACATCACCAAACCTTATAATCGGGTTAATTATTACCATACTAATGCTCGGGTCATTTATTCGGTATCGGTATTTACATATTCATTAGTCTATCGAGATATAGTATATTAAGCTATATGTACCCATTCTAATAAAAATCTCATAAAAACGTGTCAATATACCATTTGTTAATTTTAAAGTAACTAATATTTCATTGTATTATGTGTATTTAATCAATTTAGTAACGATACAATTTAGTACAAACAGATCTCTGTGTACATTGAGTCATGACCTCATGAGCAATGTTATTGTAATATCAATTGTAGGGATGCATTTATCTGACTATTCATCAATATCGTTACAAAATGATCTATTGATGGGTACATACCAACTATAATTTGTGTCATTTAGAACATAAATATTGACGTTTATAATTTACATAGAGAGTTGAAAAAGTAAATTATTTTTATATATTGTAAATAATAAAGGTATTTAGAAAAGATGAGTCCAGTGAAATTGTTTGTTACCTCTTGATGTCTTAACATCTCAATCAAAAGTAATTAAATAAACGTAGCGGAGGATTTTTTCTAAATAAATGAACTCGCGAACGAAATCGTCAAAAAATAATTACATATTTAATATATAAAGGCGTTGTGCATTAAGATGTTTCTAACTCTTTCTATATTTTATTATTTATACACACACTGTACAATAATAAAAATAAAACATTAAATATATCTGTGGACGGGATAGTTGGCGTATATTTTAGGAAGTGAAGGGTTTATTCACGCCAGATTACCTTTCAAGTTGAGCGTGTCATTTGGCAGGTTGGTACCCTCCCACGCTGGGGTCAGCTTCACGGGCTCGTTACGGAGGAACGGAGCCTTCTCGCCCTCCAAGTCCCACCCTGTTGGCAAAATGTATTTCTATATTATAAACATACATGGTAACGTTAGAATTTACGTGGGTATTATTTGTTTTTATATGAGGATATTCTTTGTTTTTCCTGGGGGGAAGGGGGTGGGAGGGAGTTATTATTAGTCGAGGGGTGTAACAATCCCATTGCTATCGATATGATATATTCAACAGTCAACCTCCACTCGGTTCTTCCTTAAAACCATCTTGGTTAATTCTTTATAAATTCGTCACTATGAGCCAACTGACCTGATTTCATCCTCCTTTATCATCTCACATTGGTGCCCCGCCAGCATATACCGACAGCGCAGGCGGGGATACCATTCAATTATCACCCATTAAAAAATATACGCTTTCCCCTTCAACTCTTTTTGCAGTCACTTTATCATACATTCTTATTATGAATATAATCATCTTTAATACAGTTCACATTTGTTTCATGTTATAAAATATTATATATGTAGGTAAAACCTTGATACGAGTTATACAAAAATCTAACACAAAGTAGATTCTTACTTCATAACATTACTTAAAAGCAATTAATACTGGAGAAACAGTCTCAAAGTTACCTTTTGTAGCACAAAAACAACAAATAAACGAATACCAAGAAAGTTTCTTTATAAGTTGTCGAAACGAAATTTTTTACATTCACTAGAGCACAAAGTTAGTTCCTTGCCACAATAGCATTTGTAATTTCGATTTTTTTTTTTCGCTCACGTCTTGCAAGAGCTCACGGTATACAATTTCTATCAACCTACCAACAATGGACGTGTTATCAGCTTTTGCCATAAACTTCACATATTTTATCGCTTTACAAATTGGCACAGCCAAATATAAGTTACTTTTCAAAATATTCTTTACATATATATATAAAAAACTAGCTATTTAACACAACTTGAACTGCACTATAAAATTACTGTTTATTTCTTGTAAGTTAATAATTTTGTTAAGTAATCAAATAGGTTAAATATTATTTTTTTAACACAAGGAAATAAAATTACATCCTTTTTGTTGCAAGAAAATTTATGACTTGTTTTTATATGATTTGTTGTTTGTTGGTTACTAATTCGAGGTCGCTTAATTATTTAATTTTTCTCTAATAGCTCTAGTTTTTGAGATACAGATACTAGCCATATTTTTACATTAGTTAACTTTCATAAAACTGAGCTGTTTTTTTAATTCTTTTTCTTTTACAAGGTCAACGGCAAAAAATATCTGTAAAATGATCCCAACTATTTCTGTAACATCTGTAATAAATATACATTCATAAATATATAAATACATAAGCCTACAGCCACCTTTTATCATAGCACGGCTCGTCATCGACAGGAAATTCATCCTCACATGTTTAAGCCTAAATTACCGCACTGTACGTGCGGTTTCAGAAAAAAATTCTCCCATGAACGCTCAGACTGTGGAATGAGCTCCCTGCCAAGGCTTTGCCTAGAGACTACAATATGGGGGTTCTTCTCTTGTTTGCCACCATATCAAACGCCAATAATCTGGCAGTAAACTTCAAATCATCAGGGTGACTGATATTTTTAAATGATTAACATAACAGAATTAACAAAAGAAACCAGTCCCAATAGTTTTCTTCTAACTTGTTATCTGTTACTCAAACAGTCCTGTACTCCAGTAATTCGTCAGTATCTCAAGGATCTTCATCTACACAAAATGATTACGATTTTGAAGAAAAAAAATTTATTCAGGTGATAAAAGTGGAATAACTGCTTTTAATTCAGACATTTTTTTTAAACCCCAGCCCTTAATTAGTAAGAGCTCAGCGCATTAATTAGATATCTTGGATTTCTAAAAAAAAGGATAAGGGGATCGATAAAAGATTTTTTTAACCCAAGAAACAAGAATTTCGTACTATCGTAATAGAGAGAAAGAATTGCTTTCATTCTTTTCTGAAGATGACTACTTATTGTTCCGATATTCCTGATTTATTGAAAGTAATAGAACTACAATAATATGATCCAAATGAATAGCATTTATTTATTGATTCCTCTTAACGTAGCCTAAAATGTCTACTTATTTATAATACACATCCATCATGGATCCAAGTTATCTAAAATAAATTAAATAAGCTAGGTTAGCTTGGTTTGTCACCAAATGGATATTTTGCATAATTGCAACTGTAGCTTCTGTTAAGGGTAAAATCAGGTACAAAAATCATAAGTGGCTAATCTGAGTAGATCTATAAATAGTTAATTTTTTTTTCTTGAATATAACGTTTTCGTTATATCTCAAAAAATGAAGCTAATACAAAAAAAATCTAACTTCAAATCTAAAAGCAGCACCCCAAAAAAGTATAATACCTATTTCATGCAATACAAATGCTGTTCTCTAGTGTAATCATAAGAATCACATTGTCCACTCTATTCTCCATTAAATGAAACCTACAAATGAAATGAATGTATTACTAAACAAATTAATGGCGACCTCTTAACGTAGGCATGCCTACAGACGTGGCTTCGCGTTAGTGAGATGGTTCGACTCTCAATCGAGTCAATTTTCAAGACATATTTCTGAATTATCTCTGTTTACATTTGACTTTTATGGAACTTTCTTATATCTATTATATGGCATCATTTAAAATATTTTAGCCAGTTCCTCTTTTTTAAGTATTTATACACGACCGGGTTGAAAGATCATCCTCATTAAAAATAGGTCTGAGGATAGTATTTCAAAACCGGTCTGCGTTTATAATATTTTGCAACAATAATGCAATCAGTTCCACCGATTGTATTACGAGTAATATTGTAAAAGTTTTCTATAATTTACAAGTATTTTATATAATTACATACAATATTTTTTTCTAATATACATTCTAATTTTTTTTTCTACACTATGTTTGTGTTTTTAGTTGATTGTTATATGGTTTCACATAATACATGAAAGAATACATTTCATATTGCATCCATTGTTTACAGCTGCTATGCTCACAAGTTTCTCGTTTGCGTGGGATAAACGTTATCCTACAAGTTTCGTAAAAATGTCCACAGGCATTTCGCGTGATATTTACAAAATATACTCATATTTGACTATAATCCTTCACGGTAAACCAAACGAAATACAATATATATAAATATTAAATGCATCAGCGATAGGCGAATCACTATAGGCTAGATCAATTTGACTATTTTTTTACATGTTCGTAATAGACTAAGGTTTTACGAAAACAATTTATAATGTGGACTGTATAATATCTATAGAGTCAACTAGTTTAATATAGATTACAGTGGGCATACATTATACCCAACAATATATACTAGTGACTAAATAAGTATCTCTGAAATCAATTGATCGATTAAAACACTACATGAAATTACACGAAATTATTTTAATAAGTACTCACATCTCTTCACTTTAAATTCTTTTCTTCTAAAAGTACCATATTTATATTTACTTAACGTCACAGCACCATTAATCACCATTATCATTAAATTACAGTAGTTTATTATTTAGACTTATATCAGTAAGATTGAAACTATTTCCGTATTATAATGACATTGCTCGGTCTAGTCGCAACACGATATGAGCAAGGTCCTGTGGTCGCTCGACATACAAAAATACACAAATGCACAGGGTGTTAAATTATTATTATTTGAGATTATTTATATAAATTAAACGCACTGTAGAACGACCCCCCCCCCCCCCTCCTCCCAGATACAGTGACGACTTGAAATGCATTGCATGAAGTCAGTGGATGCAGGTGGCTCAGGACCGTTCTTTATGGCAGTGTATGGGGGAGGCTTATGTCTAGCAGTAGACGGATAATGGCTGAAATAATGATAACGATGATATAAATGAAGCTATTTTTAATCGAATTATGAAATTTTTAATGGAACCGACAATAAAGTGAACCCTATCGAATTCGTTTTGAACAGAATTGGTGAAAATATTATATAACATATACACAAAAAATACAGATGAATTGTTTAAATACAAATAAATTGCTTAAGAGTATATGCATATATACTCTAAAAAAAAAATTTTACACAGATACTGAAGTAGAACATTATAAAATATTTTAGTCTCTCATTTTATAGCTATCTTGTATATTAATACAGTTTCATCAAAATATTTCAAATGTACAAAATAAATTAGTTAAAATAAATATCTTTAATACCTTTTGTATAATACCAACAAATAAGTATCATTAGCATAACACGTGTTACATCTTAGCACTAGTATGTGACTACTAATACATGGTATAAAGTATATTGACATACCTAATACTGATAATAATAAGGAACTAACTTAATTTACAATACTATATTACATAATAATATGTAATTATCGCCCATTCTTATGGGAATCAGCCTATATTGCTCAATTTATATTTTCTCTTTTATCATTTCTGCCCAAATATTAACTGTCTTATTCATAAAAATTATCAGCTCATTATAAGTCTTCTATAACCAGGAAATAATATGATTATAAAAATCTTTATTCGTAAATTCATTATAACTCTGCAATAATTGCTTAGTCAGATATAGATAATCTATCAAACTAACATAAAACTGTTAAAGCAAAAAGTATAAGGCTAAAATGTCAAATAGCAGTCCTACAGAGTTATAATGGACTAATGCCTATTATAGGAATATTTTAACCTCAAAATGAGTAGCATTAAATTAAAATATATATATTTACACATCAATTTCACACATGCAATTTTTCATCGTTTATGATCTTAAATATAAATTAGTTGAAAATCTACGAATTGAAAATGAAGGATTGCATCATTATAATATGATATGCATACTCATCCCAAAGATGTATGAAATCAACATTGTACGAGTATTTGCTTATCTTGGTCCATGTTCATTAAAAATTTGATGTATATAGATTTTTTTTTTTAATAAAAATTGTACTTATTCTACTTTTTTTTATATATATTAATCATGATTTTTAATAAAATCAGAATATTTTTGACAGCAGGCTACAGCTGTCTATGGTTTTTAGAACTCGACAAGTTTGCAACAT